GAACTCACCTCCAATACCATTGTCTCTTCGTCCGTGAAAGTTAGTATGTCTAATCAACCCTAAGATCATGGAATAATACAACTTTTATACCCTCATAGATATAAATCAATTCCAGATAGTAAGTGAAAGAGATATCGCACCCCTTCTCACCTAATCTTTTCTTCTTCCTCCCTTCTCAATCATCATTTATCGAACCCTCTCACACCAAGACTAATCTAACCCATCCGAATATTAAAATACCACATCCTCACCTCCAAAAGAATTCTTCCCTATATTACTCTTGAGACACACAGGAACGATCGAATGGTGAAAGATTTCAACTTCCGCCACAAACAAACACAAGCTCGTTCCTGTGATTACTGTGCTTATAAGCTCAGGAGTTGAGGGTATATCCATGTGAGTTATTGGAAATAGAGGAAGTGTTAAGAGATCATGACAATCAAGTTGGGAACAACGACGATAGGAAATTTATGTAAGAATGATGAGAGGACATGAGAAGTGATGATACAAATTCGCTCTTGGCTTTCTTGCAAACGGAAATCAAGAGAAAAGCAGATGGATGGAATAGAAACCAGGTTTGAAATCTTGGGGATAATATATGATTCCTACTCTAAGCTACTGAGCAAATGTCGTGCAGCATAACATTTTAATGCTCATAAGAGGAGATATGTGATATTCATAGCGCATTATATCACAGAAGAGAAAGAAACAATGGGGCTCGGGATGATAGAAGATACACCAAATTGCCCCTCTCATTTTATCTCCCCCTCCCCAGGTTTTGAATATCACACTTACTAAGAATTATATAACACAGGCTTCCAATATCTCCCCAGCTGCGTGAAGTACATTGAAGAATCCGAAGATCATTCATCTTCGAGGACTGTAGATCTCGTCTCTTATGCGAGTGTTATTCCCCATGTAGCTGCAACAAAAGGATAGATTCATATCGGCGAGCCTGTGGTGGTTTGGAAGATATAGTGAGATAGTGAAATGATATAACTAGTATGAAAATACTGACAACAATTATGGTAAAGTAATGATTCAAAACTCAACATCGTGATAGAAAATTACTATTACCACTAGTCAGTAGGTATCTTTTAGTGCATATTCACTCATCTTCCATTATCTTCTCCTCTGTTCTCTATCTCTATCGCCCCACCCCGCTGAATCCCCCGCAATACAAAAACAACAACAACAACAATAATGAAATCATCATGATCACTTACCCACAATCGGTCAGACTTCAATTCTCCCCAAACCCCCCAAAAAGCTGCCATATAGGATAGAAATTCCATTCTAAATCAAAATAACAATCTAGAATTACCCCAGGAAAACCCCCTTTATCCCCAATTAAAATCTCCCGATTCAAATATTCCCCAGGTCTGCTGAATTTGTCAATATAGAATTAGAACTTCGAAGAAGAGGGTTTTATAACAAAATAAGATTAACAACTTTATTTCACGTCCATCTCGATCCCTCACATTTCGTCTCATCCTCCTTCTTGCAAGCTCTCCGCACAAGTTCCCCATCAAACGTAATACCTAGTATAAATATTAAAATCCTCAGATTTAGTAAGTGCAAACCAGGGTATCAGGAAGGAATTGTATGAGAAATACCATGGAGGGGTATAGATGGATGGATGTAGATATAGATACAAAGCGATAGATAGATAGATTTCCGTGAATATAGTTTCGAACTGTGGATTGAAGAGCAGAGGAGGTGTGGGAAGTATGGCGTTGATAGATAAAAAGACACAATGAAGAAAGAATAAAGCGAAAGGTTATGTGATAATAATATCAATATACCGCTCGAGACTCAATAACAAGGTAATCTATCTAATAGCAACCCCCTCCGCCCCCAAACTGTATCTGTATCAAAAAGTAACAATAACAGTAACTCGACTCGACTCGAATCTTCGGGGAGAAAATCCTGATAATTTTGATTTTTTTCACGTTCATAATTATCGAAATTCAACTATATCTTTCATCTTTAGATACCTACTTCCTCGTTCAAATATATACAGTACATACCATATCATAATATATCCAAGAATCTCAGAAGTACACATATCACGAGCTAAAAGTGAACAACAGAATAGGACTTTATCATTGCAGACTCGGGGGGGGGGGGGGTTTATTATTTTTCCCTCTTTACTTCATTCATTTAGATATGTTTAGGTGTATTTTATTTTATTAGTTATAGATAGATTGAATCGATTCTGAATTTAATACTACTAATAATATCCGAGAATCGAAAATCGAGGTAGAATGATGAGTTGCGCGATGGTACCTAGGTAAGGATCATGAAGTATGTAAAAATCAACCTCGCGAGAAGACCGACGATGAAGAGGAAGATGAAGTGTTTATCCCTCTTACGTTTGATCTTGATATTTGTATATATCTGATCTGAGGGGGCATGATATGATATGATATTTCCTCCCGTACAAGCAAGAAGTGCATCCAATTCACAAATCTCAACCAATCATCAATGACCAAATACCAGCTCTCAATAAAGATAGAAATCTAGATTCTCAACAAAACAAAACAAAACCCATCCCATCTCATTTCATCCCATCCCATCCCACCAAATACAAAACACATCACAAACTCAACCCCGCAATGCAGAATATTTACAGAAGGCCAGAACCTAGAATCCCTCGATCCAGCCCCCATCCCATCTGAGACTCGCTAATCTCGCCTCTCAAACAACCCCCCCTTCATTCCTTCCAGCCCCGCCATTTTCTCCAACTCGCCACGAATGTTAGTTCGCGCAGTCTGCGCAATTGAACCAAAAAAAAATCATTAAGTTATTTAGATGGTCTTTCGCCGAAAAAATAGTTACTTTGTCAAATTCGTCTCTAGCCACAAAGCCGCCACATCACAAAAGTCCTGCAATGCAATTCTGGAACAGCTGTCTAGGTAGGTGGGGCGAAACAACCCCAGATTTTTTTTAATACATCGTCATGCAGGAAGGTAAACTAGAAATGGATAATGTAAGCCCAAAATGGGAATGGAGGATTGGAGTTGAAGGATTAGATTGCACTAGTTTTTTCTTCTTCTTCGAAAATGGGAGAACTATTTTTTTTTTCACCACCCATAGCTCATCTTATGCAGTATTATTTATCTCAACAAGTTTTTCTTCTTTTATCAGATGCGAATTTGATCAGAATGTGACCCTCTAATTCCAAATTCGCATCAGGAATTTTCAACATTCGGTACCCTCAATGCAACCCATCGGCTCGGCAATCAAACATATACCAAAGCCCGTAACCGAACCAGGAGGGGTTGCATTTGCAGAACGCATGAGCCTTGCGGTTATGCACATGAAATGATGGATTTTTGTTACTAAAATTGTGTGTATGTATTTGTATATGCAATTTGAAAGCTGAAGGAAAGTAATATTATACCATGCATGAAATTTTCTTTCAGGAAGGAGAGTAAATTGATAACTTTGATCATAAAACTTCCCCTCCAAAAAAGCAAAAAAAAAAAACACACAGACTCGACGCAATATCGCATGATAAAAAAAGCTCAGATTCCCATGTGCACACCGTTAATGTGGAGGTTGAGCCTTGTCCATCCTGCATCACACCAGCCAGCGCGCAACCCCAACACCAAACCAGCAGCAAAGAAAAACCAGAGCTTCGCGAGCTTACCGCGCCTTACCGCTCTTTGCCCACTTACTGTTTTGAGATGGTTACAGGCTTTTTGATAGGATTTCGACAGGGCTAGCTGGAGGGTACAGGGCTAGCTATACACTTGTACAGGCCCAGTTACAGGCTGACAGGGCTAGAAAGAGCAGAAAGTGATCCACGCCTCATGGTAACATTTTACCGGTACACTTACTGGCTTTTACTTTGTCTTATTTTTTCTTCCTCCAAACGATGAACAGATATTTCCCCTCGTTTTGAATTCCTCATTATGCCATTCGATATCTGCGCGAAGACCAAGAACAACAAGAACGCGTAGGTAAAAAGTTAAATGAGTAATGCAGAGAAGATATGAAAGACGTTACCGTATCTGAATCATGCTGCAGAACAGTGAATCGTAACTGCAGATTTTGGAGTTCTTTCGTATATCGTACAGGAATTGGTTTGCCAGTGTCGAATAGGAAAAAAACGAAAGGGGATTTGTACAACGAGTGGTGCGTGGGTAGATGCATGTATCGTACATCACAGCCGTATTTTGTGTACTTATTCAGTGATGGATCTGGGTAAATAGTGAATACGAAAGCATACGGATTAGGAGAATAAAATATGATGAAAACACAGATACAAGATACCTGCGTAACAGTACAATCTGTACATACTGTCTTGTCTGTACATTGTGGGAAGAAAGTTTCGAGAAGAAGACAAGATTCAGCCCCCAATATATTCTGCCCCCAAATACATTTAAGCGGTGAAGACAACATGATTGATTGTGAATGATGATTGGTCCAAAAGAAGAACATGTCGTAAGCGTTAAAAGAATAAATTGAATAAATGCTGGCATGCATATATGATGCAGTAATGCAAGAAATATGCAACATATATTATATTATGCATGCATCAATTCTCCAGTGCATACCTCCCATGGCAGTTTTCCCTTGTGAAATCCTTGGGTGTGGATTCAGATTGGGTTGTCAGATTGAAGTTGGATTTCTATTTGCTGATAGTGAAGACTGGAGAATGCCTGAAAACTTAAAACCGATTCAGGGGGATGATTCACTGCCTTTACAGAAATGATTATCGGCGGAGGATTGACGACCGTTTTTTTTTCTGTTTTTTTTTTTTTTGCTCAAGGTGCGATGTGATGTCGAGGATGTGTGACATGTCAACAATGCAATCATAGCAAAGATGGGGAGATGATCAATGGGACGGGGATGAGGATAAATGTTGATCTGTGAGATATAGATGGGAATGATGTAGATGATGAGATCAGAGCCCCCTCCCCCTCTAAAAAGCTTGGGATTCAAGAAGATAATGATGGAGAGCTCGGGTCGCGATGATGTAGATGAAAAGCATGGAATTCCTTCGATCCCCCAGATCCAGATCCAGGTTCAGGATTCCCAGGTAAAGAACTCCCACTCCCAGTCAAAATGATACGATGATGGCCCGAAGGATTCCAATGAATTCTCATTCAAAAGATAAGATGCAACAGGATAAGATTTACTCGATAATCAAGACGGTCAAATGTAGCCGCATGGTCATCCTCACATCTCACATTCCCCATCAGCAATCAATCAATCAATCAATCTCATGTATAATAGGAATGACGCGTAACAGATCCGAACCAGTGGGAGAATGAACTTTGAGTCAGTTCACCAGGTTCGCGAATGAAAGATTAGATACCTTCTTGTCTTTCCAACCATTTGTCTTGTTCTCGCGGGGAAAGGCTGCTAAGTATACTAGGTATCATGTTCCAGGAAGATGTCGAGATTAGATTGAGAAGACGATTGGATTAGATTGGGATGGACACTGGGCACTGAGCAGTAAGTGAATCAATCCGTCGTGATTTTTACTTTACGCCCAGCGTGCGAAGAAATGCACAATGACAGCCTCGTCCAAGCGTAAGTTTCTTTTCTGCCAGCCGCCAAATCCCAATGTCTCTCGCATTGGTCGATCTTTTGAGAACGATATTGCAAAAAAAAGAGGGTGGTGGTGGGTGGCATGTGGGGAATTATGCATGTAAAGCTGTGTCACTATACAGATTAATATGGTGCAGCTCGATCTCTCTTGATTCTTGGATGTTTTCATAGATGATGAACGTTGATAGGTATGATTTTGCGAATGTACGATGTATAGTCTGATTATTGGATGCAACTGTACATTTTCTCGTCTGACACATTACTCGTGTTGGCCAATAAATGCCGAATTTTGATTTTGATGATGGGCGGGAAGAGATGAATATGGATTTCGTATGGGATGGTAATCTCTTACTGACTGGCCAGACGGTGGTACTGGCCATTTTGAACAAGGGGAGATGGAAAAGGTTGTCGTCTCATCCAAATCTGATGATTTTCTGGGAAAGGAAAGGTAGGTACCTAGGTAGGTCTCCATGATACCGTAATTCTTTCAATTGGGAAACATCCGAGTCCAAACCGAGAAATGAATTCTTGTGAATAATAGATTGAATATAAGAGGAGACTTGAGGACCCCGAAATTTGAATATCAATAATTCCATCGTTCCAGCGTATCCTTGAATGAAATCGAATCTCCTTTTCCATTCCTCTCATCCGTCTTCACTCCGAAAAATTCTAGAAGCCAAAGAAAATCAATGCTAGCTGCACCTCAAGACGGTATACTGGGATAATGTAGTACCGTGGTCCGTAAGACCGCAGCACGCTGGAAAAAGTTGTGGACCATTCAGAAGCGTTCGTGATGAAACCAATCATAAGCTAAACCGAAATCAATGTTTGAAGATTTTTTGGGCAAAACATGTGGATGTTCATTGGTCTGTTTGAAGATGGTGGATTGAGAATTGGAGAGTTTCAAGGTTGACGAGACGATGAGACGATAGCTTGACGAATGATATACAAGCAGCTTCGGGCTTTAAAAAGGTTCCTTGTCACGAACATGGATCTAGCTTTCAGTTATGGAGCTTGACGTTATGGAAATATCATTTTCGGTATGTGGTAGCATGCACCTTTGTGCGAATCTTTTCAAGTGAGTCTCAGAGTGAAGTAATGATTTTTGGATGGTTTGATCGGACGTGTTTTGAATGTTTGAATATGTACTTCATATGTGCATCGGTATTCAAATGGAAATTTTGTACTATCTTAGATGGTCTAAGTGAAACCATCCGTTGCTTATGGCAACTCTTTTCTAGATGCAGTTCATACATACTTCTTACTCAAGTCAAGTTAACAGAATCTAGATACCGAAATAGATAGCTCAGGAGCTACATCATAATCACCTTATCCCCTAGCGATAATCCAAAAAAGAAAGGTTCACATTGATACTGCAGTCTGCACGGAAGTACCTCGTACTCAGATACCTAGGTAATACCGGTAATATCATTAATGTCATAACGCTGACCCTTACATATTAATAAAAAGAAGACTTTACGGTTACCTACTCTTTACTTCGTAGTCCTTTGGCTAGTCCTTAGTCTTTGCGTTTAGTTACTCGAGTAGTTTCGGCAAGAAGCCTAAGTGATCACCCTCTCTCAAAAGTTAAAAAGACCAGTCTCATTCAAGTTTGAACTTGCGGGGCAATTCTTCAGACCCTCTTTTCTCTCTCAAGGAAAATCCCCTCTCTGGCCCCTCCAACATCATCTAAACTGACCACCTAGCCACGAGCCAAGTCTCCATAAATAATATATAAGACTCGACAGAATCGACAGAATCGACACTCGACAGATGAGTCTATGGAGTCGGATGGAATTCGCGACTCATGTGGATATGGCCCAACACTTCAGCCACTCATACCTTCTCCTTTTGCACTTTATTGAGGTTATTTCGAGAATTCCACTCACTCCACCAGGCCCTGCATTGAAAAAATTCGGTAAGAAATTCGTTTAGGAAAGCGTCATCCTTGATGAATGATGGAACTTTTCGGCATATCTTTCTATCCCAGGTTTTCCCAACAGATGAAGTTGTCAACCATCGATCCTGTTCTACCGGTGATTCCGTATTTGTACGAAATGTTGACACTTGAGATTTGAGGGATAAGGTAATTGAGTTTTGACTTCATTGAGAAGATTATCGGTTGTGAGTGAAAGCCTCTCCTCTTTTGGGGGAGTTAGTTCTGAACTCAAATGATGGGGTATCTCCAGAGTCCAAATACCTAGGTAACTATAAGATTCTAAATGTAGTTGAAAAGGGCGAGTATTTACTCCTCGTTTGACGAATTAGCTTTGAATCTTCAATTATGATATCGATTTTGCCATCTCTGACCCCCTAGACTTCCTAGATTGGATAAATAAATAGTTGATGGTCTGGGATTTGATTCATTGAATGCCTCCTTAGATATGAATTAAGTGTTACAAACTAGGTTTATGTTAGACACGACGATGGATGATCTCTAAACTTTCTACTTTTGGTCTACGAAGTACTTGAGTAGATTCTCTTGTCTAAATCATAACTAGATAAGATGATGTCTTCATAATCGGGAAAGCGCCGGGGAAAGAACGCTTACGTCTCTCTCATGTGTTGTAGGGAATGAATGCATAGTTTATCTCTCATCTATTCTAAGATTCAGAACAACTCATCCATAGATACTCGGACATGCATCTATTGATACATCCATTGACACATCTATTATAAACATCCCTTATTTATCATATAAATACCTACCATTACTATTAGTAGCAACAATCTTCCTATTTTGAAACAACACTCGGACTTTTCCATTTATCCATTAGGGGAATATCATTATTGAATTTCGATCAGAAATCCCCGTTGGTGAAGTAACGATACACCAACCAAGTCGGATTCTTATTATTCGATTTGAAGTCCTATATGGAGAACTGCTTTCTATCATAGAAACCTATACTCAATACATCATCAACTTACTTATTAGGTCTCATCAGAAGATTGAATTCTTACCAAAGATCTATTCATATCTATCTATTTGTCTATCTATCTATCTATCTATCTATCTATCTATCTATCTATCTATCTATCTATCTATCTATCTATCTATCTATCTATCTATCTATCTCTCTATCCATCCACCTAGAGCTACCTCAGCCTACCTACCAATCTACCAAGCTTCCCTTTTACAGAATATCTATCTGGTATACGGAGGGAGTACGATAATAAGACGATTCATCAACCCCTGGCCCATACCAATCGCCTCCCTTGCCGCCATCAAGAGACCCGTTTCTCTATACCCAAGCAGCCACCAATCAATTCCGCCCTCAATTCCAAAAAGTGGACGAGAGGAGAAAAGAAAGAAAAAAAGATTAAAAAATTAAAAAAACAAAAAAACAAAAAAATTAATACCAACCTGGAATCCCCCAGTCTTGCCCTTGGTGTAAAAATCACCCATCCACGCCATCTGCTGCATTCCGAAAGACCTTGTACCCAATTAAAAACGATATAATCAATTAACCCGTTGTTACGAAGATCATATTGCAGGAACAACAAACCTTAGACCCCTTCTCCGTCAGATTTCCCGCGTCGCAAAACTAATTTGTTCCTCCCACCCTCCTCTATTCAACCAACTCCTAGAAAGAGGATCAACTCAAGACTCAAGACTCAAGACTCAAGAATCATACATTCAACACCAATTCCTCACATTTCTCTCTCATCGTCTTACTCTTCACATTAAATTCTCTCGTCATCACAATCACCATCACCTTTTAAACGTTGCTTCATTTTATAAATCATTAATCATGGGCTATGAAACTCGCGGAAGACAATTGAATTGGGGAGTGATCGGTATAAACTTACCACAAACTCACGCAGAGAAAGCGGCCGCTCGACTTTCACCGCCTTCCATAGCGACGTCGACATCAGAACAGCAACTTTCGAAGAAACGATCACGTCGAAGTTCTTTCTCACTGTCGCCTCCACCAAAACGAAAGAATTATACAATTCCAGAAGACATAAGTACCCCGCCACTTTCACCACCAGCCGATGATAGCTCATTTGAAATTCACAATGTGGGAATAAAAGATGAGCCGAAAGAGAAGAAAATAGACGATGAAATCAAAATTGAAGAGGGCGAAGAAAGCAAATTCACAGTCAACGGGGGCGAGGAGAAGGAAGAAATCGAAGAGATCGACTTGACGGAAGTAAAGGACGAAATTGTTGAAGGAGTTATTGTTCAATTACAAAAAACTCGCAATAGACCTCATTTGGTCAAGGAACTTGCTGCTATTTTGTCTCCAACCGTTAAAATCGTGGAACAGTAAGTTCACAATCTTTCCGATTCATCCCGTTATCTCTCGACACTATGAAACTAATAAAAAGTCTAGATCTGCCAATCCATGTGCAATCATTTCCTCTCGATTATCCAACTATCTAAAACGACCATGGACCGTATCATCACCATGTCCAGTGGGAAAAGAGTTGGAAACTGTGCATCCAAGAAGAACATACTTTTATTTGACTACTTACTCGCATCAACCATTTCCTGATCCTGCACAATTAGCTCAACGTTCGATTATCACCCCATCTATTTCAAGCGCAGATTCGACCGATGAACCAGATCGAAATCGTGATGATTCACCTGAAGTCGATTTATCTTCCGAGGAATACGATGATGATGATTCAATCACACCACCAACTCCCACTGGTTCCTTTGCCGGTCGTTTCGAACGTCCCGTGAGGAACAATCGTGCTGCATCGGTTGGTCTTGAGAAAGATGAGAAAGAATTCACACAAACAGCTCGTGGAATGCAAAAACGAAGATTTAGCGGCGAGCCACCATCATCATCTTTGGCGAAACCATCTGATATGAACGATATGCCTTCAAATATTTCAGATACCCCGATGAAATCTGTGGAATCTGACCCATTTTTTGGAGAAAGCCGAGGTGGTTTAAATGCATCGTTGTTAAATACGCCGGGTTTTATGAACAGCCCCGCTATGAAACCTGTTTTTGCATCGAAAAAATCATGGGATGCAACTGTGGAAACTTCTCAAGCGAATTGGGCGCCAGCGAAGATTGAAACATTAGATTGGGATACGAGAAGTCCGGAGAACATCGAATTAGATGAATTAGATGGCATGCTTGATGGATTTTAGACTCTCAATCTTTTCCTTTTTTTATGATTATACGCACACGAAAGATTCTACCAGTGTTGAATCAGGAATCTTTGATTCCATTGTACAAATATTTTTCTACTTACTACTTGAGATTTCTGTTGGGAGAGATGTACGATTTTTTATTGTTAAAAGAGATTGAAAGATGGATGGATGAATGGACTGGAAAATGCGAATACAAAAGGAAAGACAAAACAAAACCGGTCCTGGGGATTAGGATATTTTGGAGGTACTCTCGTTTTCTCTACATGAGATATTATTTGTTTAAAGTCAGGTTTTTCTGCGATGGTGTTTAGGATGGTGGATTTTTGTTTTTTTTGGAGTGCGTCATGTTTCAGCCTCTTCTCTTTCCCTTTTTTTTTGTAAACAATAAATTTCATGACCCGAGATGATTGGAGATGGATGGATTTGGGATATGATATGATCATGTAGTCATAAGATCATTAGGTTGGGAAGGGGGAATTGGGAATGGAGGATGTGAAATGATCGTGACATCGAGTTGAGCGGTCCGGTCATACACTTTCGGTCATAAATCGTATGATTCAGATGAATATGGGCGAATACGAATTTTCGACGGATATAAACATTTCCTCCGGATGAAATCAATTTCTTTACAATGAGAAAATTTAAGTTGGGATGGAAAATAAGATATTAGGGTATTATATATATACACATCTACATATACTAGAGTACACACACACACACACACACATATATATATATAAATGAAGAATATGAAACATCTCTCCACCTACCTAGATCTTGGTCTTTGATATGCATGCATATGGTTGATTGTGATGAGTTTTGGGTGACTTCTTGAATTGAAATATACACGTGTACTTGCGTGTGTACTTGTACTTTGTTTGGAATATGTGTTTGTTTGTCTACTGTGTCTGAGTGCTCATTGTGAGAGGAGAGTTTGAAGATGAGGAAGTGAAGGATGGAGTGGTGGTGGGTATCGGAGATGGTGGTGATCTTGTGGTTTGGGTAGGTTGGTGGGTGGATGTGTGGGTAGATGGGTAGGTATGTATCTAGGACTTTTATTGCCAAATTTCTCGATTTTTGATAATAAATTTCTGGTACCTGATTCCTGATTTCATATTTATGTTTTGTGCTTCTATTTCTATTTCTATTTTTATTTATATTTATATTTTCGGTTTTGGTTTTGGTTTTGGTTTTATTTCATTTATTTGGGCATTTTTGAGGTCGGGGGGTGGGGGGGCATATATGTGATAATTGCGGATATTTAGGTAATGTTGGTAGTTCTGATTTGGGAGGGGTTTGAGGAATAGAGGATGGAGGGGGGTAGAAAGTGGAAGGGAAGTAATTCCTTATTTTGGATGGATGGATGGATGGGCTGCGGATCTCCGGAACTCCTTGTGGGTTTTGCTTTTGCTTTTGGATCTGGGTTTGGGTTTGGGTTTGGGTTTGGATTTGGATTTGTGGTTGCAGAGGGCGCGTGGATGGAGATGGATGGATGGGATAGTGCGTTGCATTGCGTTGTATTGTATTTCAGTGCAGTGCAGGGAAGGGAGGGAAGGTAGGTAGGGTAGAGTTGTTTCTCGCGGATGCTTTTTATACGCTTACGGAGGGAAAGGAGTAGGAAGTCAGGAGGTGAAGCATGAACGAGCTGTGGTTTAGGGGTGGCGAGAAGAGTGGCTAGAGAGAGTAGATGGCAAGTGGCGACGAAAGTGACGTGCAGCGGGATAGAGTTTCTGGATTGTGAGACTGGTGAATGTGTTGAAAAATGGAGGTGCTGAGATGAAAGCTTGGGATGAGATAGAGGGGAGTGGATAGTAGATAGTGGAAGTTGTTATTTGGGTGAGAGTGTGTGGGTTAAGGATTGAGATTGGGGCTAGGAAGGAAGTAGATTTGTTGGTGTTGATATTGGTGATAGAGATTTTGTTGGTAAGTGTTGTTGATGATGAGTGTTGTCGGTGATAGTGCACTTACTGGTGTGTATATTCTGGTGAGTAAGTACTTTCCATTGTATCATTTTGATTATCAGTTCATCATTTCTGTTATTGTTATCATTGTTTTCGATGGAAAATTCTCCCCCTTTAGAAATTGGCGAGGATTAGATTGGTTTTAAGGAAAGTCTCATGGAATGGAGAGGTGCTCTGCCTGTTAGTTGGGGATACACCGGGCACAATCTATTTGCTCAATAAATACCTCCCGTTCTTTCTTTGTTTGGGAAAATTGGATGATAGAGAGAGAAGTTATTTATGTAAATATACGGGGTTATTGAGGGAGGGGGGAAAGCGGGAATGGTGAGGTAATAGGTGTGAATCATGCAAGCTATATGACTGACATGACGCCATCAGCAGAGGTATCTTGTAGATTGAGGAGTCACGAGTGTGGATATATAATTGTTATCCGAAGAAAGTTGGCGTGAATTTGTAAGTGCGAGTTCTGAAGAGGCGGCGAGAAGGATGAGATGCTGGGGCATGATTGTGCCTTTCATTCTATACTGTCTTTATAGATCTCGTTAGGAGATCTATGTAGATGTAGTGGAGCAATTAGAATGGTGATTCATGCGAGCTAGGTGGTTAACTTATGGTCAAGGCTCTTGGGGGAGGATAATTTGGCTGATTGGTGGGGTGAATAAGTAAGAGAGATGGAAGGGAAGTATTATTGTTTTTTACTTGGTCTTTTCATTACCGATGATATTTTTATTGCCATCTCTAAGTATCGCTATCATTCCCCTCCTTCTAAATCTTCCTCATGTACTTCCGTATATCTTCTCACCCAAATCTATTTTCCCATGCCCCTGAAGCCCGTCGCATAACCAGGTTTGCGCTTGATCTTACTTGATTCGAAGTCCAGCCTTACTCGATTTAGAACTGCTGTGCCGATATCTTTAATGAAAACAAAAGAGATTATTTGTTGGTTATATATCCATAGCTCTACTGCTTAAGAAACGGTGGTAGGATATGTAGGAGGCGATGGTATATACCGAGGGCAAAGCAAGCAACGATTTAGAGGATCAATGTAAGCTGTTTTGACGAATCCGAATATGCTTGCTAAACTTTGAGTGTCCCTTTTGAATGAATGAGAAACATGAATGATAGGTCATTCAAGTTCTACAACTCATCTCTCATATATCCACCAATGAAAAAGGCTTAAAACGGAGATGATCCCGCCTTATGGCTGAACGAGTGGTGACTCTTCCATGGCCATGTACAAATATGAGGCTGCATCTAAGAAGCCTTGTGTCCAAATCAACAAGAGGAATACTACAATATGGGAGAGATAAGGTATGTTATCATTGTCCCTCAATATCTTCGCTGTTGTCAAAATCATTATGATTGACTTTCCGCCATCCATTTCTCGAGAGGCAACAAAATCTTTGAATTTATGAATTCTCAATTCTTACTCACCAAACTGAATTGATTGAGTGTGAGGGGGAAATGGTGGTCTCTCTCAACTTTGAACCATTTCTTTTTCTTCGTTTTTGAATTGAAATATTTAATAGGCAAGACAATGCGGAAGAGCATATTTATATATTCCACGTCGAGGAGTCCTTGATACTAAAAGGAGAAGAGCCAAAACAGACAAAATAAAGACTGATACAATCTGGAACAAAGTCCGAAGACGGAAAGAACTAAGCTCTCTCACACAGAAGGCATAGGTAGCGGACGAAGAAACAAGTATTGATGATGGGCTATAAAAAGCCCACGCCATTCCTAATTTATATCGTAAAGACATAGTTTGCACTGCTTCAGGACGCAGAAAAATGCGTACCTGGCTAGAGTTGTGGTTATGTAGATTTGTGGTGACGAATTTGCAGATGGGATGTTTGGAAGATGATGGTGGTAGCAAGAAAAGAAATGGACGCAGAAGTTAGATATATATGAATATTGTCGTACTCTTGCTCATCTCCATCTGTTCATTCACTGTTGTTGCTATCATGATTATTGTCAATCTTCTTTTGCACCAAGTTTCCTACATAGAGACCTCGGAGATCTCGCAACTGGTTTTCCAAAATCTCGTCGGCTATCTGTGAAATCGAATGTGAAGTTTGAGTTTAGAGGTTTTGAAATTAGACTATCCCACATGAAATTTGCTGGAAGCTGGAGTGTATTAATTCTTTGTATAAAAAAAGATGGGAAGGATATGGAAGCGCTTATATATTGAAGGACTGAAGAGTCTTTACTGGTTGAATAATTTTGTGGGCTGAGAGGGGATGTGAGTGAATGAAACGAACGGCCTGTTGAAACCATGGTTGGACGGAGTAATAATTATTGGGGATTTCAATAACGGGTCTCGGACTGCGAGTCTCTAGCAATACGAGTGGTAACACCAAAAGCTAAATGTTTTCCTTCCTCCATAGTAGCAGATAGGTAAGGCAGTTGCTCGAGTTGCGTCCACGTTACATTGTCAGGAAGTGATTTGAGATCTTTCCGAAGTTTGGCGAGGATAGCGGGATTGGCAATGAGATGGTAAAACACAATGCTGAGCGTTTTTGCGGGAGATTCAGTACCCGCAAGGACAAGTAGTGTACCTTCATTTTGAAGGCGTAGTAGTGATTTTCGGATTCGGGTAAACTGGTGTTATCCAAGATAGAATCATATACCAACTCTTTTCGTGTCGGACCTAAGGATTTATTGGTATTTCCAGAGGCTTTTGCGTCCATAATGGAGACTAATTCAGTACGAACTCTCTGTGTAATATGTCATCAGCTACCGTGTCTGAAAATCCTTCTTTGAAGAAAGCTTACTGCAAGTAAAGCAAACATATAAACTAGCCCAGGTGGCAATAATTGGCTCGGTCATAGATTTAGGGAGTTTTAAGAGAAGGTCGGGAATCCATGATATATGTTTGTTTCTATCCACACCTCTTAATAGTTGATAAGTGTTACGTATACGACGAAGCGACGCAGCTTCTTTCTCATTCGCAAAGTTATTAACTTCATGAGCAAACAAGAAGTTCTCAGCCAAACTGCATCTGATTAACATGATAATTTGAGGTTTTGAGAAATATCGAAGTTAAACTCATTAAAAAAATGCAAAGAATATATCCAAAAGATTTAACGGCGATTTGTCAACAGTATAAGAAGAAATAACATCACAAAGCTGTTGAAATTTTGCAGTGATCATTGGCTCGAGGTATAAAGCATTTTTTTATACTAAAGAATGGAACTAAAGCTTCACGACGCTTTTTATGAACATCGAAAGATACAGTTGCACCAACGCTTCCAGGAACTCGCAACTGCTTTAAATTACGAGCATATTTATCTCATCGGGGTGATGGGGTGAGTATATTGTATCAAGTAAACCAGCATTATTAACGTGAATCTCGTCTGGAGTAATGCGAATTATTGGACCTAGTTCGATAGAGTTAGCAATGATTATGCCTGTAGCAGCATGATATATTTGACGGTATATTTGACATACCGTATTCTTCATGTAGTTTCTTGATATGAAAAACGTATTTCCCAAGTTTTATGACATCGAAATAGAATTCGTACCACCACGTAAGCGCTGCAGGTTTGGGACCAGGAATGAGTCTCAATGAATGGAAGTAAAGCCTGTAGATTGCAACTACTATCGTCGATAGTAGTGACACAAGCAGTGTTGTCTCTACGATTTTTAGTAAGACCATGATTAGGGACATAAAGGATGGTAATAGCTATGAGGGGACTGCTGATCTTTAAACTTTTTCTGTTTCTTCACCTTCATGAAATTTTAAACATTGGTACTCATGATCTGTGTCATTGGTTAGTTTGGTACGATTCTGGTACCAATATAGGCTAGTCAGCATGTATATATGGTTGTTTGCTGCCGTAAATAGGCATGTGAAGAATCCATAACATCGAATTACTTTCTTCTCCATCCAACACCGCAAAACTCATAACTCCATTCTCCAAATCATGATATAAACACTTTCGCTGAAAGAAAGCTTGTTCAATGACCCAGAGAAGAGGGTGAGCCTCAAAATCAAGACCCGAGATGGCAGATGTACAATTACTTTCTTTCTGGCCAATAGACAGTGCTGAAATTCTGATATCAAAAGTTGTGGATGATTTAGAGGCCGTAGAGAATTATGAGGTTCAATTTCGATGGGAGACTCAACCGGATAGTGTGGGAAGATAAACCATGGTAATAGCCTATTGATATATCACCGGCTGCGGAAGGATTAAGTGCAGATGGGATGTTGGTGAGATTGAAAAGAGCTTCCTCAGCAGACATGGGCATAAAATTTCCGGACTCGCGCTGTCGAATTCTAAAATAGTATCCTGCAAGCTGGCGAAAATACAGCTGTTGATGGCGAGACCACCAAAATTAGTTAATTCCCGAATAATCAGAACTTTTTCGAAGTCGTTTTCGTCGACCAAATCGGTATTGAAGGCGCTGAGAGTCGAAGAACAAATGCTGTTTGTGGAGAGAATGAGTTTAAAGCGACCCTTCGGGACGAAACTCCGATGTAGAAATAAGTTGTGCAATTGATACCACTAAGCGAGGAGTCCCTGAATTCGACGATGCCATTGTGCGGGTAGATAGAAGTGGAAGTGGTATTAGAGGTAGATAGAATGATGCCAATAGTTTGATTGTAGATATTGAGGGATTGGAAGATAATTGTGTTGTTCTAAAGGGAGCCGGTTATTTAGGAGAGTTGAGAAATCTATAATTTCTAGGTTAAATGGATCATTGAGATAAAATTCAGTTTCACTTGAACTTACAGATAATGTATTATTAGTGACAGCTCTATGGGTCACATCGAATGTCTTCCCGAAGTTCTCAAATGCTGAAATGGTGTTGTGTAATTCTGGGTTAGAAACTAGGTCAGCGAAACCAGTGTCAATGAGAACTTCAACTAATATTCTAATTTCTAAGACTCCGATCATTAGGTTTGCAAACCAGAATCCTTGGAAAACATTAATTGTACAGTGAGAGAAAAGAGACCACAATATTGCAGCACTAACCTCGTCATAAGTCACAGGCCCAGTGACTCGTGTTTGTCTTCTATGAAATGGCGCTCTCATAAACCTTGGGTTGGAAGCTTGGACAGAGGAAATGATTGCTAAAGCATTAATACAGGCTCCAGTCAATGATTTTGGTAGTCAAAGTATAGACGTAAGAATATCGAGAAGGTTTATGAGAGAGGAATTGAGAAGTTCCTTGGAAGATGAGATGGGAAAGTAACAGGAATACAATAATGAACAGAATAATACATCGACATGCAACAGACACCAATCTTTCAGTATCTCACCCAAGATACCAAATTGATTCAACTCTCTCCTCAGAATGAAGACTTAGTTGCGGACAACTGAGCCAGCCCGATGATAGTCCTCATACTAATGAATGGCATGGGGATCTCGGCTGACCTGATTGGGTCAATACCTTTTTCAAATTTCACATCAAGCGGTTGAAAATGTTAACGGTGTATGCATTAAAGACTTCACATAACGTGAAATACTCGGACCGAGTATTGGACCTTAATACAAGCACCATACCGATTTCGAATGAGCAGACGAGTAGCTAGAAGAAGCGAAGATAAGGGGCAGGGATTTTCTCGTAGACTACTAACCGCTTTTAGCCACACTAACCCCGTTCCCGTTATACCCTTAATTTTATGTGAAAAGTGGGGGTGACATATTTATGTCAACATTTCTTGAGCAATCAACGATAATTGGTGTTCTCAGTCCAAAAAGGTGGGTATTGTCGACAACGACACGGCTTGACAGTGTTTACTAACGCCACGTCTTGTAATTGTCTTGTAAACCGTATGCGAAAAAAGAAAATGAGCTCCAGTATTATACGATTCCGATACGGTGGTAGTAAAGTCCGATCGGGTTGCATTACATGCAAGTAGGTAGTATTCTGGGCAGAAACCCTCCGGAGAATTATTTTCATTAAGCTTATTTTGTATTAGGGCGCGGCGGGTGAAATGTGACGAAGGCAAGCCTACATGTCAACGATGTCTCAAGGCCAAACGAACTTGCGAGGGATATGCACCTCCGTCATCCATGTCTGCTACCAGTAGTCGACCACTCAAATTCGTTGTATATTCTGCTTCCTCGCCCGTTGACGCATTAAGTCTCCTACCCGGTATCACACCAAGAGAGCAAAGATTCTTTGATTTCTTTCGGCTTCGAACAGCAGTAGAGTTAACGGGACCTTTCGAAGCGGATCTTTGGTCTTCTGTTTTGTTACAAACGGCTCATGCAGAATCGGCTATTTTTAATGCTGTTGTTGCCTTGGGGGCTCTCCACGAGAATTTTGGGCATACAAGAGATGTTCAAGCATTGGATTCGAATTATGCCTTGATTCATTATCAGAAAGCTATCCAAAGAATAGTCAATCCAAAAGCTTTGAATATTGATATCGTTCTCATGATGTGCCTAGTTTTCTCCGCTTTTGATAATCTAAGGAACAATTATGAGGCTTCTTTAACACACATCGCTGGTGGTATAAAGATTCTTATCGAGGAAGATAAAAGACTCGGGGGACTCAAGGATGGTTCTTTGCAAAAGGATGTCTTTCTTCCTATGTTTGCTCGGTTAGAAAATCAAATTACAGAATGCGGACAAACGGCTACCGCGGCCAATACTACACGCCTGCTTCAACTGCCCACTCTTAATATACCTCATACCTTTACGACAGTAGAGGAAGCACAGAACGCATTCGATTTATACCTTTCTTATCTATGGAATATGATGGAACAATTGGGAGAAGCCAATAAACATCGTATACCTCCTCCTCCGGTGATTCAGCGTTACCACAGATATGATGGCCTTTCAAGATGGTTAGATCCATTGGATCCGTTACGAAAACATATCGATTTTTCTACATGTCAGACTCCGCCAATTCATGGAGCAAATATGCGATACGGATTTTCATCTTGGTGCGCGGCGTTCGATGCTTCCGACTTTCCACCATTCCATCCAGCAGTTCTCTTGTTACAAATGAGTCGTACGATAGTTTCAATTCTCCTCAACATCGATATAGCGATAGGTGAAATAGCTTGGGATTCTTACCTCCCTCAATATCAAATGATACTTGATTATGCCGAGATGACCTCTCCAAATAAATACATGATTAGTCCTAACCAGGGAGGAACACCTCCAACATTTCACTACCATCGCGGCTTCCTTACTCCTATCTATTTAGTTTCCACTAGATGTCGAGATCCATTAATGCGTCGTCGAGCTTTGCGCGTTCTTGAAAATTGTAATCGAAAGGAAGGAATCATAGATAGTATGATATACACTAAAATTGCCAAGAAAATGATGGAGATTGAAGAAGGAGCCGCGATTGAAGAAATGAAGAAAAAGGGCACAAGTCAAAATCTTGGTGATTGTGTTATAGAAAAGGCGGAGCAGATACCGGAAAAATGCAGGATTAGAGAGTCTATCGCCAAATTTGTGCCAGGAGGAGGAGGATTGGTCGGATATAAAAGAGAAGGGATATGGCACGCGGTAGATAATGAAGAACCAGTGTCAGTTGATTGGCAAAAGTGATGGTACTTATTAGGTGCTGAGCGGTGGTGAATCAGGCTAAGGGTGGCCTTGTAAATAGAAGTGGTGAAACTGGCAGTGCTGTGTACATGAAAAATAAGTTAATCAAGACACTATAATCGTGAATAGACACAAAAGAATTCAGAATTTCTTCAGAAGATTTAAGCGCAATCAAAGCTTCAGACATCCATCATTGGAGGACCAAATTTAAACTACAAGGAGTGGTGAAGACCCTTCCCAGCCTGAAGATCGATCATGTTTTGAGCCGCAAAACATCGCGCTCAAGGTATGCAATAGCACGCAATATACGATATAAAGAGTGTTCAAATTACACGAAGCTCAATTTGTACAGAGAATCCCTAAATAAGCAGGAGAACTCGGGAATAGCTGAGCCGGTAAATCGTACGACAACAAACAAAAATCTTTTTGATGCAAGCTAGTATGATCGACGACAAAACTAATGATAGGGCTGTGGAACAATCTTTTAGGACGAGAACAATTATCGGTTGTAATTACCCATTATCGAGAAGATTTACACCAATTGATGATGTTGTGGTATGGATAAAAACGGAGAACGAACCGAGAAAGGAATGACCGAATTATCAGGCCAATTGTGCAGCAGTCAGCTTCGCCAAGAGCTTTTAGAAGTTCATCCGGATGAGAATTCCCCCGCAAAATGACTTCGGCTGAAAAGTGTTCCGGAAGACATGCAACAAAAAGTATTTGAAAAAAAAAAAACGAAGCTCGAACCGATGATCATGAAGCCAGTTGTCAAGTAAGTTGATTCCTGTACTAAGTTTGCGCTTGCAAGACGTGGCAAAGGAGTATGAGGTATACAAAAACCAAGTAGTACCTAAAGCGAGTGGTTGACTATTGATTTCTGGTTCGCTTCCTCAAGATGCAAGATATCGATATGCAACCGAAAAGCTTTGATGAATCGGTAGATGTATGAATAGCCATATTGCAGAATTCTTTCAATCACCCCGTACCTCGATTGTACCAGTTTTGGGGACTGCCGCAAGATCTCTCGTAGCCATTGATATATACCCCGCCGCCAGCAACTGTGTCCGGATAGTTCTGTGTGAGATATAGTGCGACGTTTCTACCCAATGGCATATCTGCTATATCTGCTTCAACGTTTTTGGCGTGATTATCGATGAGATCTGTGGGATCTGCGAAAAGAGTGGCAATGGCGGCGTTGCTGAACGGAACACACAAAGCATTGAACCGCCCGCGGGAAGAAATTTCGGGTATAAGGATATGACAAGCAGGGAGGTTCGCAGAGCTGGATACGATATCTCATCGATGTGAGGAAGAGAATGCTCGATGGGGAAGCGATCGTGTTCGAGAACCTAGAGGATTAACGGATACAAGATGAAGGGGACAAAACTCATAGTAGCAATCAGGTTTGAGAGAACCAATAGGGAGGATTACAAGCCCCCCCGTTACCATTCCAGGATACACCGCTATTGATAGGTACATACCTATTCATATACATTTGACACAGGATTTTGAGGTAAAAGCATAACAAGCAATATTATAATATTGAGCCGCAATACCCGATTAATGCCGTTGACCTCAGGCGGACCGTGCCGAGAAGGCTCAATCGAATTCCTTGCCTCTGGTGGAACTCGCAGAACTTGTAGAAGTGACAAGATTTTATTAACATAGGGGATAAACTGTTTGCAAAACTGGGCGCAATTCTTCGATGTTATAGATTCCTTGATGATGTCGTTTCCAGGTCGTTCCATGGTCACTGCAATGTCCCTAGCGTCATGGTAATTTCGATACCCCCGCCTACCTTGGCAGAAAGCTTGATTCCTCGTGCCCCCTTGAACCTCCGAAACTTCAAATCGCAGTTCACGAGATTGAAGAATTCTTATGATGTAGTACTGTGCGAAGATTTTAGACTCATCTAGCACGGCTACCTTTCAATATAACATGTAGATTAAGTTTGAAGACTTTAATATGTCCACAGAACTTTTTGCCTTACGGAATTGTTTTCAAGAAATCATGGAGAACAAATTTGCTAAGAATGAGATGTTTCGTTATTGGGATAGTTCTCAACAGATGTACTTGTCATTGTGGGATCTAGAGGATCTGCACTCATTATATCTCATGCTCTCATGCAGAGTTCAATCATCTGCTTCGGGTGTACTTTGAATCTCACAGACACCAATGCAGATAGCCTTCTGCAATGGAAGTTACGAAGACATGGTCGGCGTTTGGCGTGCTTGCCTATTTCTGTCTACATGGCTCGCTCCTTCCTCAGTTCTGGAAATTGCCCTTTATCTCTCATTATCTCGCTCTTGAGTGGGGATGGTCAGATTTGGTCAAGCTAGTCAAGTTTGCTCCCCGCATTACCTCTCTTTCATCTTTTCAAGGAATAATTCACGCTTACTTCTGCGATGTTATGATCGGGAGAAGAGTCTGAACCCTAAATCTCTCTACTTGAATCCATTGTATATTCGTTCACTCATACATGGTTGACTTCATTTCATGCCATCATATATTTTCTTTCGCCGCTCTAGATAAATATTGGTATGCGGATAACGAAGGTAAATCGCACAACCCATATAACTTCTACGACAAAACTTGGGTAAAATCGTAACGAGAAGAGCCTTTGGTCGAGGGAAAGAACTCCAAGGGGTCAGAGAGCTCGTATTGTTCGGAAGAAAAGGACCTCGATGCCAATATATCGTTTCGCCATTTAAACAGAGGAGAAGAATATTCTTTCGATTCTCGTCGCATATCACAAGTCTTTTAGTATTTCCAGTGCAAACAGATCTCTGAAGAAACCCCATCAACATGAGATTTTCTTCTTCTTACATAACCGTGCTTCTTACGGTGATCTTTAGTGATACTCTAGTTCAAGGCCTTTCATCTACGGACGAATATAGAGATGCAGATCTGCAGCAAACAGGATATTTGTAGGTATTTCTTTTTCCGTACACAAGAGCAAGATTCTAAATGACAATCAGGACTGATCATAACATGGATCCGGGAATTATTGACAGCTCATCATTTGGCCAGCTGTGGAAAGTCGCTTTCAATTACCAAGAACAGGTTAGTAATGCCATTATTGTTTCATCCAGATCTCAAAATTGAAGGTTAAGGGTTTCTACAATATACACACGGACAAATCAACCATCAAAGTCTTCAAGCGTTGATTTTTTGCATGCTTTGGACTACTACGTTTGTGGTATGAAAAAGCCTTCTCCGGGCATAGGTAAAAGTGCATGAACAACTGCTGACGAATACAGTTCTATGCTAAACCTCTAACATATACGCCACTTACAGGCGGCCCTCAGTTGCTATTTCTTGCATCCAACCAAAACTACATCAGAACCCTTAATGCCGAGACAGGAGTTCTCATAAATTCAAGACAGGTTCACACTCCTTTCTTACAATCTGATATAGGATGTACAGGTAAGTCTGAATGTAAAAGAATGATTGGATTTTAATGAATTGACATGTTGCAAGATATTCCCAATTACATTGGTATCATAGGTAAATAAGAGTTACGTCCTTACCTCATTCCACCACTTATCAAATTACAGGCACACCAACTATCGACCCCGCCACTGATATAGCATATTTCTTTTCCAAAACTTATATACCAAACTATAGAGTTCCAGGAAAGTAAGTATAAACGGTTTACCAATTCCATCATTTTTATTGTGTAATTTCGTTCCCCAATTTCAAGCTCTATTTTTGTGGATCATTCTATGTGTTATTTTTCCTCCTCCGCAGAATATTGATTCCTCATTCTTCTCATTCGGTTTCAGACAATTTCTTTGATGAACAATACTGACTATACGATCTTGCAGTACTGGAACGGCAAATGGTGTTTATTACTTTCATGCAGTCAACATCAGTACTTTACTTGATGTAGATTCTTACCCAATACTCATTGACGGCGCAATTGCAGATAATGCCCCTCAAAAACATTTTATAGGAGGAGTTATTCTACAACGCCCTTCATTGACACAAGTTGGAAGTGTGGTATATGGCTCCTTTGGGGGTCATTGTGATCTGTTCAATTACACTGGTCTTGTTATGGGCATCGACGTTAACAAAGCCAAGATTATCACAAATTGGGCGGTAGAAAGTGGACCACTAGTTCCGCAAACAAACATTTTGCTTGATGGAGGTGGAGGCGGAGAAGGTGGTATATGGATGAGTGGAATGGGATTGGCAACTGATGGAGCTAGAATTTTCCTTGTATCTGGTAATGGTGGTGTAAGTGTGCCATGCTCCCCAGAAGTTGTTCAATGGCAGATGATAACTGACGTTCTTCTCTAGGCTCATCAAACCAAGAGACACCAGCTTCAGGTTCGAGTGGTTGCCAAACACTAGGAGAAGCAACCATAAATCTAGCCTTGGATAGCACTGGTGTAATATCTGTATCGGATTACTTCCAACCTTATGACTATCAGAACATGGATGCTGGAGATCAAGATTTTGGTAGCGGAGGCATTGTTCTAGTTGATCCGACAGTATTCAAAGGTACAGGTGTAGACAAAATGGCCGTTACAGCTGGTAAAAATGGGAAAATTTATAGCTTGAATGCGAATAACCTTGGCGGATATAAGCTAGGACCCGGACAAACGGATAATATCTTGCAAACAATCGTCACGAGTGCTGCAGTATTTGGTGCATGCGGCTCTTATCCCCTTGAGGGCGGTTTCATCTATTGTACTCCAGTCGGCTTGGCAACATCAGTCTATCAGTTCACATTCACATCTAGTGGTCTTCCCCAATTTTCCAAAGTTGGTCAAAACGAATGAGGTCTCTGCAGGCCGTGTTGGAGTTGGAATACCAACTGTCACTAGCTTCAATAATCAAATCGGTACAGCAATTCTGTGGATGACAGACCCTGATGCTGGTCTCCGTGCATGGTATGCTGTACCCCAGAATGGTGTTTTACAAAAAATCAAGCTACCTCAAATAGGAGGCGCAAACAAATTCCAGCGTCCAGCTTTCGGAAATGGTCGAGTATATACAACAGACTCAAACGGCGTTCTTTACTGTCTCGGAGCACCTGTCAATCTTCCTCGTGAGTCAATTTTTTTCTTGAATTACTATTCTGTCTAGAGGTTCTATATGGGACAGTATTGTTTGCTAATCTATTGTTCAGTAAGCTGTACTTCTCCAATTGATTTTGGCATCGTTGCGCTTGGAGATAAGTCTGTCCAGACCGTTAGTTGTACAACCAATATTGCGATTACTTCAATAAACGGCGCAACTGTTGGAAATGGGTATTTCTCCATTGATAATTCAACATTGCCAACAGGTCCCTTGAAAAAGGGGGCCACATTCACATTTCCTGTCACCTGGGACTTATCAAATGTTCAAATTGGAGCAACGCCGAATACGTCTTTTGGAAGTGTATCCCCTGGAATAAAAAGCACACCATTGACAATCTTAACGACAAATGCTGTCCCTGGCTTTGCTACCCTCTATCCAATAAGTTTGACTGGTACAGAAGTATCCTCAAAGCCCTTTCTAGCTATTGCTCCAACTACCGTGGATTATGGCGGAATTATCATTACAAGTGAAAGCGACATAAATTCCCAATCAGCTATCTTTACGATATCAAATAAAGGGTTGATGGTCATGACAATCATGGGGTATGCATATACTGCGGATGACCTAGATGATAGTCCGATATTCATCAACAGTACTGTGATAAATGGAACATGGGATTTGGGGTTTGGTTACTTCAGTGCAGTAGATCTTCCGGAAATTGGAAGTCAGATCGCCCCTAGCTCACAGATATCTATACAATCTTCCTTTGAACCAAACAACGGGACCGGATCATATAATTCTTATTGGCAAGTCTGGTCCGATGGAGGTACAGTCAACATTATCCTTGAGGGTATTGCCTCAACTGCTCCAACAACAAATTTTTCGATAAGCAATGGCGAAGGTGGATGGCTTCCTCAAGCCAACCTTCTTATGGACTTTGGCAGAGTAGCACCTGGAAGCTCATCTTCCCAGCAGATACGAATTTGTAATGTTGGCGGCTCCTCATTGGAGATCAGTAAGAGCAAGCCACCAAATGGCGTCTTTCACATTAGTGACCCGACGGAATTGCACGAATCACAACAGATAGCTGTCAATGATTGTGCATATGGAACCGTTATTTTCTCAGCAAATGTGGAACAATACAATAAGCCAGACCTTGTAATCAACAATACTTGGACTTTGAATACAGATGATGTCAATTGGGGAGTTCACATTGTTGAAATCACTGGGACTGTCATCTCGAAGAAGGTTGGTCCAGTAAATTCTACTACTGGTCAAACAATCTATAACTATCTCGGATGCTTTCAAGAATCTAATATTGGACCGCGTCTATTACCCAATCAAGGGTATACACCTAACATCACTGCAAACAGCAATAATATGTGCCAAGAAGCATGTTATGGACTCGCACAATACAGCTTTGCTGGTACAGAATATACTAGCCAATGTTGGTGCGGCAAGTAAGTTTCAAGAACTCACTAATTCCTTTAGTCTACCTAAATTTGCTACTCGATTGTACCCTTTATCCTTGTGTTTCTTCTATGCAATCTTTCTGTTTCTTCATGTAGCATCCACGTTCGTTTTCTTCATTTGCTTCATTTTCCTTTGGAATCTCTCCTTGATTCAATCCTATGGTCGATGATCTTTGTGTTCTGACAAATCTTTTCAAATACTATCTGCGGGTTCTAAGTAGCACCTGGGCATTGGTCGATTGATCCCCGAGGATCGAGATTGGGCTTAGCGTATCCATAAGCGAGAACGCTAGACCCAGTTCTGGCCTTTGATGGGACTACGTACGGGAAATCCCCTCAGATCAAATACTGGAGGATATCCCAAAGCCCTTCAATATTCAAATTGTTCTTGTATGCAATGCTAACTCCTCGATCTTGTAGTACTCCACCACCATTAGCCTCACAGGATCCGACTAATGCATTGTGCAATTTTGCTTGCCCGGGTGACCCGACCGATGGATGTGGGGGAACTGGCTATGTTTCCGTTTTCTATAACCCTACAGAATATGTGGCTGGATCTGATCCAGCATTGTATGGACCCAAGACAGTCAATAGTGTCGGTAATTACAATTATTTGGGATGTTATAGTGAAGCCTCAACTGGTCGTGCTTTGGGTGGTTTAAGCCCTCAAGCACCATCTACAAGATTTACAATCGAATTATGTGCAACCGCTTGCAAGGGGTTCACATACTTTGGTATGGAATATGCTAACGAATGCTATTGTGGGAAGTGAGTATTTCCTCGTTTGACTCCAAAATTCTACCTCGCAATGCTAACTCCGCGAACTTATAGTGCATTAGGTGTCGGCTCGGTCAATCAGACTAGTGGTACTCCAAGCATTAATGGATGTTCCATGCTTTGTAAGGGTAATACCAAAGAATATTGCGGTGGGCCAGGAAAACTTGATGTATATATGCTGAACACAGTAACTTCTTCGTCGCCATCTATGATCTCGACTATTACAACTACATCTACTACCAGCTCAAGTGGTGCTTCTTCGACTTCTACGACGCAGAATACTACATCGAATTCCACATCGATTTTGTCGTCCTCAACATCTCCAACAACGTCTATACCCTCAACAATATCCAAAACTTCAACAACTTTGGCAATTCCTACGCCCACAGGCCCCATCACGGTAACGAATGTCACAGGCTATAACTATCTAGGATGCTACAGTGAAGCGACCACAGGTCGTGCCCTCTCTGGTCTACGGCCTGCGCCTCCTATCGGAGGATTCACAATAGAATCCTGTCAATCAAGCTGCTCGGCCTTTGAGTATTTCGGAATGGAGTATTCTAATGAGTTAGCCTGCTCTGACCTCCATTCCCTGCATTATCCTCGCTAATTTTCTTTAGATGCTATTGTGGTGTAACCATAAATGCCGGCTCAGTTCTTCAAGAAAGCACCATCCCAAGTGTTAATGGATGTAATATGTTGTGCGCTGGAGATTCTGGAGAATACTGTGGAGGTTACGTGTCCATTTTTTCCCATCCAATTACCTTCCTACAGAGATATACCTACTAATACATAACAAAAGGTGGTTCCAGACTCAACATGTACCAATTTAATGGCACTATCTCAGCAACATCAGGACCAATCACAGTCATGAATTTAACGGGCTGGAATTATTTAGGATGCTATAATGAATCTACAAGGGGTCGTGCTTTGAGTGGTTTAGAAAATCCAATTCCGGGGATGAATAACAGTGTGGAGGCTTGTTCTATGGTCTGTGATGGGTGGACTTACTTTGGTGTTGAGTATGGTGAGTATATCTTATCTAATCTTGGTTACAGTACAGGAAAAGATGGTTCTTGTGGAAAAGTGATAATACGACTGGGGTGAAATTAGTGCTAATGCCGACTGGGAACTTTAGGAGATGAATGCTACTGCGGATCAAACATAAATGCAGGTGCAACACTTCAATCAGGCTTATTACCGAGTACAACAGGATGCAATATGGTCTGTGCTAGCAATGGGACGGAATTATGTGGAGGGAGTTTGAGGTTGAATTTATATCAGGTCGGGTGAGGGGTGAAGTTACGATGAGAGAAGAGCGTTAGAGGTATATTCGTTTATAGCTTGGCATCTAGCTGAGCGCTTTTGCTTTTAATCTTACGCTTCCGTTTATGACAAAAGATTGATACCAGAGTGAGGATATGAGAGATGGTGGGAATGGAAGGAAGTGGAAAGACGGGACATCGTTTGCTTTTAGACAGTATTTTATCGTTGCGGTGGCTTTAAGTAATTTTCTCAGCAAAATGAGCGACATTTTTCGAAGTTAGAAAGGATATATTGGAAGCTCTAGTGTGAATAAATGAGGGGGCTGCGTGATGGGTGATTGCAGTGATAACAGTGCTGTGTGTACGAGTTCGATGACGAAGAAAAGGGAACGTTTTCCCACTCGAGAACTTTTAAGCTAGGTATGTGTGTGGAGATGAGATGGGTTTTAATCTGATGTATGATGAATAGGAAACAAGAGACATGGTAGTATACATTGGGGACGTAACGATGCAAAAGTAAGGCAGGGAGGGATGATACAAAATATCGGTAGTACCGGGGAATTTCTATTTATTTCCTCATTGCTTTAAATGAGATGACAGCTTTCGGAGCTTCATAATTTGCATGGAGTTTCATCTGAATATTCAATGTTTGGGTCTTGTAATATTCCGTATTCTCTCAGAGGTTTAGATGGTGAGTTGTGGGTATGTAGCTTGGATGATAGCATTTTTTGGGTCATCATGATCCAGAGAATAAGGGAACAGTAGATATAGTTATATTTGTATAAAGTCTGGAGATTTGATTGAGGTCAGCACCAGAATATAACATTGGTAAAGAAGATCTGAAGTAAGATGGGAATCAAAAAGCATGCTTCAGTGATTGTGCGGTCACCCAGTCATTAGAACACAAGGCTGTGAGAAATTAAGTTGTCCATCACTGAAGTCAAAACTCACTTTAGAATGAATCTTTCGACGAATCAAAAAATTCTGCCTGATCTTAGCGCCAATCTCACTTTTGGACCAGCTAGCACACTTTATTGTTTTTTTCCCACTTTCAATTTTCAACTTCTTCCATCCTTCAACCTTCGACCACGACGACGACAACAACAAGCCCTACAAACACCGTCGCCGCCAGCAATTCAAACCTCCAAATACCTTGACTCTTTGATTCCTTATACCAAAGCATCTTTCTCAATCAAAAATTCTCTTTCCAAGGTAAACACACCAAAATTCTTTTTTTCAGAAGTGTAACTGACCTTTCCAGCTTATCGGTCTTGAACCTTTCGATCTACTGCTTATCTAAAGATGGACCAGCCTTACTCGAATCTCGAGACAGGCAGTTCTGGAACCATGGCATCCTCAGCGGGTGCAAGAAGCATTGAAGCTGATCTCAAGAAGAAGAATAAGGAGAAGAAGAAGAAATTTCTGGCAGATGCTCTCTTATCCCTTGATCAAGCAATATCTAGCAACAAGATGGCAGGTGCCCCCCCCACCCAACAATACTTATCAAAGTCTCAAAAAGATGGCTCCTTATCTGGGACTTCCGGATGCAAATGCGGTGACGAAATTCCTAGAATCTCAAGAATTCCGCCCTTACTTCAATGAGCTTTATCAATCTGTTATCTACCCGCGCACTCTGAAAGCACCTAATACCAAAGGTCCCTCTCTTTTACAAATCCAAAAAACAATCATGTACGGAGAGTCATACGCTCGTCGCAAGTACTCTCATAGGACTTTGAATAAGACCGGCTGGAAAGAAGATGATCATTACGCTTTCTGCTTATATTCTCTATGTACTGAAAACACACTCTCTCGGGACGGGTTATTTCGCAAACATCAAATGAGCACGATCGAGAAGGAAGCGAGGATGTGGATGTGCATGGTTCGCGCTACCTCAGATGCGAATCGTCTTATCAAAAAAAACTAAAGCTCAGAAGCGAAAGAATTTGAGTATTGATGAGGACTCTAGCGTGGGAGGACTCCTGGATCAGCCTTCAGCGAGCATGTTTGGAGATAAGTCTGGAAATAGGGTACCAGATATCAACTCGACTCCTTATAACCCTATGGTGGCAAAGTTAATATCTATATACGAATAAAATGTCAGTATAAATTCCTATATAATTATTTGATATATACATTATTGAATTCAAACTTTTTTCATCCCTAACAAAATATATTCTTTATTATCGACAAATATTTCCAGTTCAAAATGATAACCGTTTATTATTGACATTTTAATAATAGAAAAAAAGAAAATAAAGGCTTTCCAGCTGAAGGATCTTTATGATTTTTAAAACGAGTAGATGAAAGGGTATGTGTGTAGGAGCTAGGAGGAGGTCAAAGAGATAAAGAGGAGTTAGGAGGAGAAGGGGAGCGAGTAGGAGAGTGAATATAGATATTAGAGAGTGGGAAAAGGTATTAGTCGAAAGTCTAAAGGGGAGAGGGTTTCATATCTTGTTATTCATTTTCAATTTATTCTTCAAATAGAAGCTTTACTACTATATCATATAGTATAAAATGTAATACTATTTAAACAAAATACAAATCAATTTTAATCTATATAGTTATAATTGATAATCGATTATTAATCAATTTTAATACAAGTAAGCTTTTTTACTTACAAATAGTTTTAAACTAAAACTTTCGAAAATCAAGAAATTTCGAAAAATCGAAAATTTCCGAAAATTTCTCTAAGTTCCTTTAAAGTAAAATTTTCTAATCATATATATATATATAAAAATTAATCACATTAATATTATATAACTTATTTTTTCAATACAATATTAAAGATTAAATCTTTTATTATACTTGATGAAATAATGCTTTCGTCAACCACGGATTCTGCCACCACAGGGTAAATCACGGAAGCAACATCAGTTCTCATCCCCTCAATCATCACTCATGGATAAATCCAATCATCCCATGAGAAGTCTGGATCAAGCTGCACGAGAGGCAGCTGAACATATCAACGACCCCTTCCTCGAACGCTCTCTTCGCCCAGAAGACCTGTCACGGCAGGATTCTTCATGAGTATCAATTGGATCGACTGGATCAAGCGCTATCACTACGGCTATCGATAGCGAAATTACTGGATAAAATAAGGAATTGAAGTTTGCAGGCTGCTGTTATCTTATACTGAAAGGAGTGGGTGGCTAGAGATGCTGGATCGGTGTGGAAGGAGGAATGAGAGAGATAGTAGCTGGATCAAGAATGAGAGAAGTTGGAACTGGATCGAGAATGTGAGAGGTGGTAGCTGGATCAAGAGCTGTATAATAAATTGAAATCAGAAGATACCTCTTTATTTTCTGAAAAATGTGAGAATGAAATCCATCAAGAGTATATTCCTCAGAGCTTACTTGTGATTGTCATATCTTGTATGCGTGTCCTGTAGGTGAAAGGCTTGTTAATATTCGGTTGTTTTGCTTTGGGTATGGAAAACGGGAGAGAAAGTTGGAGTTAGAGATGGGAGATGAACTCATATTATTTTAAGAATATGCATATAGTAATGTAAGATGTAATTTGTGGACATTGGTATAAGGTTGGTATACAAAATAGAGAGTAGCATGGAGCGAGCAAGCATGGCTTGGGGGAGGAAAGACATGATATAATACAGAGATGATGTTGGAAGGAAGGATTTAGAAAAAATGAGGCTTCGAATGGATGTTTGTTCAGAGAGAAGATGCCATGATATGATAAAGAAATGATAAAAGCGTTCTTGCGATGGTATCAGTTGATGTAGCCTTAATCGCGGGAGTGTGAATGTCAGAATTTTCGAGGCAACGACAGGACGAACTAATGCCCTCATCGTATATCTCCATCTAGTGACAATAGAATCCGACTGCTTCTGTTTCAAACAAGCAATTTCTTTTCACGAATTTGTGTAACAGAAAGACTGACGGGAAGCGGCAGCATTGTCAAAAAATGAGGATTTGAATTCGCGTGGTTCAGTCAACTCTGTTAATCTCACATCACGAAAGAAGTAAATTCTATTCGGCAACCCACTTACCTAAGGCTAATTTGAACGAGGCTTGAAAATCATTTGGGGAAGTCACGAATTAGTATTCTATTCGGGGAATCCGGAAAAGGAGACGAAGTCTTTAACGAAGTGGGATTATTTTGATATGAGGTGTGAGAATAGAACAAACCTTAAGTAAATATTTCGCATACCAGGTGCAGAAGTAATAAGAAATGAGTGAGATATATCAAATCCTGTGTTGAGTGAAGTTCGAGCGGGGTCAGCACGGACCTCAATGTGACTGTGAACTTCAACATCATTCATGTTCATCATCATCCGATTGCACTCGTCTCATTATGTTTTGCACTCATATCATCTCGTTCTGTGAACTCATTGTGAATATATTTCCGTTATCATCTCCTTGAATCGGAAAAGTTCTTCGGGCTGTTGATCCAAAGACACTTGAGCACAATGAGGCCGCTTTTGACTTCGTCTCGAGATTCTCCATGGGTTCTTGGAGCACCAGAGGGATGATATTGATGGAGTGGAGTGAAGTGATGGGTGTATCTGTTCTATCATCATGATACGCCGCAGCTCTTGAGATGTTCTTGCTTCAAAGAAACCGAATTTACCATGGTGAGAGTGCAGTCATATGAGCGTCTCCATGCTTTTACTTTTTCAATTGAAGAGCTGAAAGTTCTCATGTGTGCTAACAGCTACATCTCGCTCAACAAGCAAAAGAATCTCTAGATTGCGTGGATAATCTGCATTGAAGTAGGAGTCTATTTTGTTTCTTTTTGATTAGCCCATTAGCAACGTCGCTAATATTGTCTACGTACAGTTTCTGTCGTTGCTGTGAACAAGGTTAGAAAGCTACATCAAGTAGACTGCCAACGCCAGAACCAAGTGTAGCCCGGAAGAAGCGGGTGAAAGACTTACGGAGCTAAATCCAACTCACCTTTCTTTACAGATTCACTAATCCTCGTTTAATATACCAACCCAATAAGGTTGCACCATTCCCCGCCGTCAACAATATTCTCATCTCCAAACTTTTGTGACCAACAACAAAACAAGACAACAACAACAACAACACAGATTCTAACCTTAAGTTTCTATTCCTATACACAAATCTTTTCTCTCCTATCAATTGAATAACCGATCACTATAGACTGAGAACTGCTTTCAACGGAACTCAATTTGCGTCTATAAAGCAGAACAAGTTTCTCCTTCGAGCCATCTTTATTGCATCCATTCCTCAGGACTTAGTTTTACTCTTACAAGAAACAGAATCCCCTCGATCCTCACTTTGGAAATCGAAAAGGACTTCCTCAAAAACATAATCTTCATCACGACATCACCAAGATTCAAATCTCTCAGTTCATCAAAATTGGCATCGAAGAGCATCGAAATCTCCGCATGTGGGCGAGCGCCTTCCAGAGACGAGATACAAGTAAAGATACTACATAGGTCCTCAAATTACCCAAGTATCTGAGAACTACGAGTAAAGGATTGACACTTCCCGCGGACGATTTGTATCGTCTTCATCAGATGGCGCGTGCTCTTGATGAAGGCGGGGAATTGACCGCAGAACTCCTATCAAACCAACCTACAAACGCTACCAATTTCGCACCCAGTGAGAGTCTTCTCAAGAACCATTCCCGGTCAATAAAAGTTGAGAATGACACCACAGATGTCAATATCAAGCTAGAGCCGAGGTCCCCTCACCAAGAGTAGCCTCTGTCAATCCTCAGGTTCCAAGGAAGTCTCTATTTTCAGGAATGTCTCATTCCCTGGGTGCTCTGAGCCCAAGTAATGTTCTGAGCACTCCGGGTCATAGTGATGTTGATACAGTTCACAAAAAATCCTCATCTCCGGGAGATAAAAAGATAACCCCTCGGAGTGCAGTTGTAAGAACAGGCCGGGAGTATTTTGCTCGTCAAGCTGAAAAGAAGGCCAAGAAGCTCGCGGCGAAAAGCTTGAATGCCACAATAGATGGACGTGTAAAAAAAGCTACCAGCCAAAAGACCAGAAAGAAGCGTCGATCTGGCGAAGCCAGTTCGGCAAAGTTGAAGAGGAGATTTACAGCTGCAGACCCATTTAATCTGGATCTTGGAACGGAAGCTCCGATAATTCAAGCACGCACACAACGGGAGCAATTTGACAAACTTCTTGCGGCCTACCCCGAGTACAAGGACAAAAATAAACGTGGAATAAGTAAGAATGCATTGATAAAGGCGGGTCAAAGCTTTGGCTACGGAAAAGTACATGCTCTAGATGCAAGATGGAAACTTCAGGGAATGGACTCTAGTAAGAAAGCCACCAAATGCATGAACACTTCCACTGACAGGTAGTACAGCATTACATCACCATCAGTTGATTGGAGCATCTCGGATGCTCGAACGAGAGTGTTCCGAAGAAGGCACACAAGGAGGCATTTTGGCAGATTGTATGGGACTGGGGAAAACCATTCAATGCATAGCGGTAAGCTCATCTATCTCAAACATTAATTCAAATACTGAATAAATAGGTCATGGTCGGAAACCCTCCAGACCCCAATGAGATCGTGACCGAGGAGCGGACAACTCTGATTGTAGTTCCCAGCGGACTCGTATGTACAAATCCGGCAAAATGCAAAATAAAAACCCAAACTAATGAATTGCAGCTTCTTCAGTGGTTTGATGAGCTCAAAAAACATGCTGGAAGTACGATCAAGAATATAGATATCTACAACCGTTCTGATAGACGAGGCGCCACACAATACACATTGTCAAATGTGGTACTTACCACGTATGACGAGCTTATGACAAATTTACCGTGGTTGAAAGAAACTGCTAGTAAGAGCAGACGGACAAAGAGAAGTAAAGGTAAAAAGAGAAACGCAGCAGATGAAGAAGCTCCGCCCATAGAGACTCTTCCCCATGATAAGTTGGGCACCGCAGGCGTCTTATATGACATCAATTGGTACCGAGTAAGTTTTGGGTTTATTCGAAAGATAAACAAATATTCTAATACATATTTTTAGGTAATTATCGACGAAGGAGTAAGTAATTCTCCATTCGGTACAACCAATTCTTAAGCGGCGTACTCACGTAAAATAGCATGGTATTAGAAATCATGATTCTAAAGCAAGTCACGCTGTAAATGCCTTGAAAAGTAGATACAGATGGATCCTGACTGGTGTAGGTTATCTCATACATAACCCTCATCTGAGAAACGCTGACATTTTTTAGACACCATTTCAGAATCGTCTGCAAGGTAATGTGCCCGATTGACCCTCACACTGCAATCACTAATGCTTATCCCACCAGATTTCTACAGCTATTTTCGCTTTTTGAAGGACCCAGAAACTACCACAATGTCACAGTCAGTTGTGCATAGATAGCTCTTGTCATTCCCAATATTAATATTCTCTTAGATTTTCAGCCGACTTCTGCAATTCCAAAGATGTTAGTCATTACACCTTGTTAATGAATCCTTGGTATTAACAATTATTTAGGAAGAATGCATCCGTCGTATGGAGACAAAATTGAGCAAATTAATGATCCGGTGAGTACATGAATCTCAAATTTTGCCATGGAAGATAGACGAAATCATATGCTAATATATACTAGGAGGACAATGGAAGATAGGGTTCTTGGTAACACGTTGCTACAACTGCCTAAAGCTCACCATAAAGCCATCGGGGTCAAGTTTAATGCCGCGGAGGAAATTTTATACTGAGCGGTAGAAGAAAAATTTCAGGAACTGAGAGACCAAGACCAAGACCTCGAAGATGATGACCCACGAAAACCAATGTCGTATAAATTTGCCCAAATTTCTTTTCTGAGACAGTAAGTCTTCTGGTATCTGCTCGCATAATCCCACTAACTAACATTCAGACTGGTGTCTCATCCAGCATTGGTTGAGCGAAAGATTATGGTCTGATTGCTTCTCAGTAATTTTATGCCTTAAACTTACAGGCGATAGGTACTTTTTGATAACCATGAACTGGAAGAGATTAGAGATAAGGTTCAAGTGCTGGATCCCGTGTTATATCGACGTAAGAGACCAACGCACAATTCACACAAACTGCATACTGATTGAAACTGTAGGCATCTGCTCTTGGATTAGAGGGGAGAAAGCAAAGGTAGCTGCCGAGTATAAGCTTTCGTTGGATCAGCACACAAAGACATGTGAATTATGCAATGAAGATGCAGAAGATCTAAAAGAGATTCCCAGATGTAAACACTTGTTTTGCGACTTTTGCTTAGGTGAAAATTCGGATATTGAACTTGCAGAAGATGGAACAGAGGCAAGTTCTAACATTGGCGAATCATGATCATATCTCTGACACTGTTTTAGTTGCTTAAATGCAGAGCTTGCAATGAGCCGTATAATCCTTCTGAATTAGAGAGGGTACAAGAGCAGCAAGAAAGTATCCAAATGGGGATTAAGAAAAAAGGGATGAAGGGAAAGGATTTCCGCAAGTACATTCCAAGCACACCTAAGTCTATATGGCTGGATCAGTACGACAGAGGAATGATTGATCTGAGGCCAGGCTCGAAATTAGAAGCTGTAATTGGGCAGGTTCGAGAGTGGTTGGCCGAATCACCAAAGGAAAAAATCATCATCTATACGCAGTGGAAGATGGTGAGTACCATCATCGGTCGTATGCTCGAGAAAGAGAATTTTAATTTCCTCTATTATTCGGTAAGCTCGAAAGTTCCTACAGTTGAATATGCGTTTACTAAATACTATTATCAAGGGCGACATGACTCAAAAAACACGATCTGAAGTTATTCGATTATTTAAGTTGAATCCCAAGGTCAAAATTCTCGTTTCTGGCCTCAAGTGTGGAGGAGTAGGTTTAAATTTGCCCTTCGCAAATAAGGTCATATCAGTGTATGTAATCTGTCTTCTCTAATCTTGGACCAGTATACTAATGCTATAGTGAACTGTGGTGGAATCCCTTTGCGTATGTGAGAAGGACTAAGACGCGTGATCACGGCTAAATTGAATATAGTGAAAAGCAAGCTTTCGGTCGTGTTCACCGGATTGGCCAAGAGTTAGAAACAATATTCGCGAGGGTTGTTGTGGAAAACACGATAGAAGATAGACTTGCTGATTGTAAGTTGCTCGTTCAGCCCTCCCAAGTTGAAATTGCTAACAAGTCTGAACAGTGCAACTTAAGAAGCTTCGCATCAATAGTATCGCTATGCAGGAAAAGCTAACTAAGGAAGAGGAGGCCAGTTTGCTGGAGCGTGCTGGATCTGAAAAGTCACTTGACCTTGATGCAGCGGACTGTAATGAGCATTTAATCAACGCCCTTGCAGGAACAGATCCTCGCCTTAACTCGAATACTGATACGCTATCAGAATCCGTCCAACGATTGTTTGGCAGAACCCCTGGAGATTCCCCTGAAGATAATATCATGGAAGATACCGATGATAAGATAGACGAAGAAGAAAATTTTTACGAGTCCGACTCCGACAGCGACGATTCCATGTCGGACGCTTCATATGCTGAGTCTATGCAGGCTAAAGTAGAGACAGAGGAAGAAGGCGGTGAATAGGAGCTCTTACGCATTTCATGTGACGATAGACCTCGCCGCTGTCTGGCTAGTCATGATCTATCAGCTCTACAAAGACACTCAGTACAGCCATCTTCCCTGGTGTACATTATTAAAATACCCCAGAGAGTTCCACTGGATTTCTCGACAAGCAAATGACATGACTCGATCCCCCAACAAACACCAATTCCAAATCATTCTTGCAGAATCTCACCGAGTCCTCAATTCCGTTCTCAGCAGTTTTTCTCATCAGCATTTCCGTCAACTATAACGAAGAATTTTAAAATTCGCATCTAGTTGGCATTTATCGACACATTCGCTGCAGAGATTTTCAGTCCATCTGGGAGAACTATCAAAAACAATTGCAAATTCAATATCTTCAAAAGCTCCCCACCAAAAGTTTTATCCCCTGCTTTCATCAATATTCACCTCGCGTCACCAAGTTCCAAGATTCACCTCCACCGCATTATCAACTCGACATTTCCGCTGTAAATAGCAGCAGTCTTCAGTCCTTGCTGAAGATGGCTGCTATAATCAACGACATTCATCGACCTTTGCTCGAAATCCTTGCTGTCATCCCCGACATCTGATATTCCGCATCTAGAATATCTCCTGTTTTTAACGACACACGGCAACTTCTCAGCTGGGACGAAATGCATGGATGGAAATCTGAAATCCCCCTTTCCCATAAAAATCACAAATAGCACCAGTTCATTAGCACGACCCCAGTTATCTTTTCTCATAGCAAATCTTATCATGATCAATTTTCATTTTATTTCTTCTTGAGATGGAAATAGGCACGCAAGCGAAAAATAGTTAGTTTCATACATATCTTACCATTCTCGGGATATGAAGAGGAAATAATCATCTCTTTTCAAATAATAATGCGATTTATACTGCGTGATATATATGAATCCGATAGTGAAGTGAAAAGGTTCTGCGATTTCGTTAACGTATGAGATCTTCCCAATACTATCCCGGGTATCTCCTTCAGAAACTAGAAATGAGTGGTATCTTCTTCCGGGCTAACAATGATGCCTTCTGATCCCTAGATTGGGATGTGTCCAAGCTTGACTATATATACTCGGCTATGTAATACCCCAGCCAAGATCTGTAGTGTGATACATATATCTGTTATCTTTGCCCCCCATCTTCCTATTTCCATCCACTTCTACTCTCCATGATCTTCCCCTGGCTTACCACCCCGCCTACGCGTTCCTCAATCCTATCCCTCCTCCTATTTGCCCCCTTTCGTCTCCGGGATTCCCTCATCACCCCTCCATATCCATATCCATATCCACAGCCACAAATAACCCCCACCCCTATTCCCTCACCTCAAACCCTCAAACCCTCAAACCCGCCTCTCATCCCACTACCTACTCTAGATAGGTACCTATTAGAACAACCCAGTCTCTTCAACCACCATCACAACAACAACAATCCACCCTCAAAATCCACAAGAGACGAAAGAATCAAAGAGAGAGCGGAAGAAAGTAACAAACGCGAGTTTGGTACTTACTCACTCCCCTAAATCATGACCAACAATATCTATCCAACACCCTTACCCTTCCAGCTCTTTCTCTGTCACACCCTTCTCCCAGATCTTCTTTTTTATCCTGTAATAAAATTCCCCAAAACATCCCACTCAAACAGGTAGGTACCCCATCATCTCCCCACCAATCTACTCCAGAAACCCAACACAACACATCTCAACACCCGAAACACAACGTATCAAAACAAGGCAAGTCAAAAACACCACAGAAAAAGCAGACCGAACAAATTCGACAGGAAAGGTGCACGAAATCAAAATGGTATCATTACTGCTTTAATAAATTTCCCTTTAAGCACCCACGGTACCACCCACATATCCACCAATCCATCCCCCTCCCTCCATTTCATTCCCTTTCATTCCCTTCCATTCCCTTTGCTTTATCATCCAATTCCCTCCTCGGAAAAAAAAAAGTAAATCCCCTATCTCAAAAGAAACAAATGTAACTCAATGTAAAGGAAAAGAAATGTACTTGATATCCATTCACTCCCATCCCATGCCATCTCAACCTAGCAGATCCTATCCCATTCCAACATATCTCGCACCCCCGAACAAAATCTCTGACTTTATCTGCATAAATACACACCAAATAAGAAAACCAAACGAAAGTCTTTTTTCACATTTCCTATTTCGTACTTGCCATTCAAATCAAATCAGATACACCACCACCCCACCCGCATACATGCCATATTCAGCACCACAAATATTCATGGTGGGGTTTCGAACCCCGTCTCGAAACGAAAGTAAAATTTCAAGACCAGATCTTCCCAACTTCCTCGTGATTGATCTTTAGATTCGGCTTCAAGGGGAAAACTGATTTGAATCCGTTAATTGATCGTATTAAGTAAATTATTGAAGCATCATCTTCAAGTTCAGTGAGTAGGTCGTTAATGGTCGATCATGAGTAGGCTTTTTATCCACTCATCCCCAAAATTTCATCCAAATCCACTGCTGACCGTGAAAATTTGTTTTGCGGATGAAATTTTCATCTATCTCTCCCCAACATACCCTTCATTAACCTCTGCCTCATCTCCTCGCCCCCATCAAAACCACCTGCACCACCACCCGCCCCGTAACTTCCACTTCCGGCTCTATTATTCCTTAATAAATCATTCGCACCTCCATCAAATGCATTGCCCAAGCCAGAGCTCGTACCATAAATGCTGTTGGTATTTGCATTGCTTCTCGAGCTACCACCACCTAAACTATTCATATTCGTTTGACCGTAAGCAGATGCGGATGTGTGGCCCAAAGTAGGAAGATCGAGGGTTGGAAGATCAATGTAAGAAGGATCTGCGTATTGATTATAAGATTGTTGATGAGTTGTTGGGGTAGTACGAGTATAGGATGAGGTTTGATTCAAAGCGGAAGGTTTATAATCAGGCTGAGAGTATGATGGAGTTGCAGTAGCAAGAGAAGTTGTGCGAGGGTTATAAGATGCTTCGGGTTGCGAATAAGTTGGTGAAGGATTGGCGAGGGAAGATGAAGTTCGGTATGATGTATCAGGTTGAGAGAAAGAAGGCGATGATTGAGCTATGGTGTGAGGACTAGCGGTCCGGTAAGAATTTTCGGCATGTGCAAATTGTGGTGAGGCTTGGGTCATGGTACCAGCTCGGTAGCTGTTACCCATCTGAGGTGATGGCTGATGAGCGCCATATCGTTGGTTTGCTTGCGGATTTGAGGAATATTGTGAGACATAATTGGTACCAGTATGATTCGGGAAATAACTATTCGAAGCATTTCTCGGAACATTTTGTGTCATCTTTTGAGTCTGATCATCGCGTGGGTGGCCTTGCTGTGACGTCTGATGTTGAATTTGAACTTGCTGAGGCTGTTGAGAAGTTTGCTGAGTCATTTGTTGTGGCGTTGATTGTGGAATCGATGAAGATTTTTGATGTTGACGTCCTTGAGGTGTGATTGTTGAAGTTGTAGGAGTGATACTGCGTCCATTTTGTTGTCCGAGATCTTGTTGAAATCGAGCATAATGAGCTTCCAATCCATCAGCAGGTCGAGTTACAGGTGTATTTTGTTGCGTCTGTTGAATACTTTGTACTGAAGTAGCGGGGGAATCTGGAATAGAACTTGGTGGGATAGGAGGTGTAGCATTACTAACAACCGAAGAACCGGGTTTTTTGCCAGTGGGAGGACCATTGGTTCCAGGAACCTTTGGCTTTCGCTGCCGTTTAGGAGGTGGTGGAACAAGAGTTTCAACCATTGGAGGTACGGATTCCCATTGCACAGTGGAGGTATCTTTTTGCACAACGGGAATTTCAGCAGGCGCGGGTAGAGGACTGATGTTCTTAGAAGTATGGCTAGTTTGCGATTGCGATCCTGACATATTTTGAGATGCAGTCATTGGTGCAGTTTTAGGCTTATTGGGACCACGCTTTCGTTTTGTACCGCCAGCTGTGGGAGTACCATTGTTTACGGGTGTTCCTTGGGTCGAATTGAAACCAGTGGGGCCTTCTGCAGGTGTTTGAAATGCTTCGATAACGGCACGTTCCTCGGGGCTATATTGATCTGGTGGGAGAATTGAAGAAGTATGATTATGGTTATTGTTTGAGTCTGGGTTCCAATGTTCTGCCGAGTATGTGAGTTGTGGCTGGCCACCCTTATTGTTTGCGTCTGTCACAGGGACAATTGGTGATTCCTTCGTAGAAACGGGTTTATCAGCTACCATCTTTGCAACTGCTGCGGGTTGATGCTGGACGTTTTGTTCCGATGGCGCTGGATCTGCTATAGTAGTATCGACATTATTCAATCCACCAGTACTCTCAGTCCCCGCTGATACTTCCTTTCCCTTGTTTCTTGATCCTTTGGGTCTACCCCTTCTTCGCTTGCTTGTAGATTCGGTATCAGGAGCATGATTCTCGATTTGTCCTTTGAGGGGAGTGGCTGGCCGATCAGACTCTGCCTGAATCGGTCGACTAAAGTTTGGACTAGCCATTGCTGCTGATGGAAGTGGTGCCGCTGCTACTGTTACTGGTATTGGTGGAGCTGCCATCGGGGGCGCAGTATTAACTAAAGCTACGGATTGAGGTAATCCCCAAGTTGGAGCTTGAACAGCAGGACCATATCCAAAACCGTTTGCGGGACCAGGCGCTTCGGACGTGCCATTCTCTGGACCTTTCGAGTCTCTCGGTGGTCTTCCACGACCCCTCTTTCCCTTGACAGAAGGTGGTTCTTGTGGCCTTGGTATTGGTGGTGGTTCAGGGTTGGCTGAAAGATCGGGAAATATTTCTGCCAGCCATCCTATAAATAATGCTCCCGTCTCTCTTGTATTCGCACTCTCAGGAAAGATGCCATCTTCCGGTGGTGGTGCACCAGGTATACCTCCAAAATATGCCACTGCTTTACAAACCTGATCGACAACAGTAACTGGATTGATGCTTCTTAATAATGTCAACAATCGCGCTTGTTCGTATTTAGTCTCATCCGGAGTTAGTGGCCTCGCACGTTGTTTGTGATCATCTCGTGAAGCAAACGGCGACGCGCGATTCCCACCTTCATTTTTTGCCGCCTCGAGTCCCCTCTTTTTCGGAGGAGCATATTTTTCGTTGGCAGCAGCTTTCGCTCGTGATGCGGTATTCTCGCTCGTCCTTCTCGCTGCAGCATCACGTTCAGCTGAAGCATCTTTCCCTGGTGCCTCTTTCTTTCCTGGCGTGCTAGCTCCCATATGCATCACACCAAAATTGCCCTTTTTATTATCCGTCTTGCCTTTTAACTTGGATGGTACGGGATTTCGAACTCTGCCATCTTTATTGGGACCTAGAACTCCATCGGTAGCCTGGTTCGAATTCAATTCTACCAACTCCAATGGCAACGCGCCGAAACCGCCTCTCGGCGAGGAAGATGATTGATCTTTCTGTATTGTTTTGCCAGGTGCACCTGTAGGTGTAATATCCGTGGTATTCTGACCCGACGCAGGGCGCGATGATTGTGCCATCGAATTCTTCGTGGTGGATGTGATGTCGAGAGCGAATTTACTAACTTGATTCGCGTTGGGTGATTGTAATTTAGAATGGAGCTCGGTCGCATTAACGATATCGGTGTCAACAAATCGATTGATGTGAAAGTGACTAAAATTACCTTTGCCTGCTACAACTGAAGATAAACTAGATGACACTGTTGACATGATCGAGATTGAATGTAAGATGTTGTCGCCATCCTAATTTCTATTTTGTTGTACAAGGGAATTAGGTAGTTTTAGGGTAAGAGCTACTTTGGTTTAGGTTAATTGTTAACCACGGGATCGCGTTTAACTGAATAAGCTATGGCCCCCAAAAATGGTAAGGGAGGGCGAGGCAGTGTTTACTGGCCGTACGTATAGGAGGGAGAGGATAGAATAGACCTTGGTATGATAACAGGTAGAAAGTTGATTGAGATGGAAAAGAGTGAATGATGTATATATGTCATGTAGTATTTACCCCAGAATTCAGAGAATTCAGACAACTCAATGATTTATCGTGGAGGGAGAGACGAATAGCACGAGTATATCTTCAAGTTGTATAGTCAAAATAGATACCATTCAAGAAGTTATTATAGCCTTTAATTTTGATTGATATCTTTTTTATTACTAGATGTCTATTTTACTATCTATTGTCATATAGATATAATATAGATAAACCGGTATATTCATTCCTTATGAAATATACTTATTACCTACCTGTGACCTGACTCCAACCTGATACATACCTAGTATCTTGTTATCTACCTGCCACTGAATTTACCCTGTTTCTATCTTTCAGCCTTCTATCTATATAATTAACATATATAGGTAGGTATATATACAACCTATTATATCCTTACCTCGATCTCTTCCAAGGTTCCTATCTCCTCCGCCTACTAATTATTGTATATTTATATACAACCCATGATACTATACCCCCATCTCTCCCTCTTCCTTCAGCCTCCCACCTAGATCACTGTTCTATATATTACACACAACCTATAATATCATCATTATCACATCCACCTCTCTCTTCCACCCATCCCTCCACCTACCAACCCTTCACCAAATCATCATTATATATTGACCATCACTCCCTAAGCATATATCGTTGATCCCCAAACATTCTATTTTCATTTTTATACCAAGATGTATCAATTTGTTAAAACAAGAGTCTGTCTATCTATCTATCTACTAGTCAAGACTACCTAGCACTTACCACCATATTCCCTCTTCCCACATCACTACAATACCTATATCACTGCCTACCTAGGTACGTCACCATATCACTACTTCCACATCCCAATCCACCAATCCAACCAACTTATAACCTTAAGCATCTCACTTACTCCCCGAGTAACTAACTAACCAACTAAACACAACATCTCAAACCACTCTACACCTACCTAGTACCTATCATCTACCCATCAAAGCCTATCCAGCATCCATCCAGTATCCGTTCAAGCCATCCCATCCATCCCATCTCATCTCAGCCCATCCATCTCAGCCCACCCCATCAACCCTCCCAAAATATAACCATATTTGCGCCGCTTTCCCAATTCCCAGCTCACTACCTACAGTATCAGTACCACTCATACCAACAGCTAAAACCAAGCCAGCCTTTACTCATCCTTCCATCGTATCTGTATGAATTACTCTATACGAACAATTCTCTCAATCTGATAGGTCAAGAACCGCAGAAACAATACTAGGTATATCAATGCTTACTAATAATACCTTGACACGAAACGTTGGACCAACTGTTTGTTTTGTTTGTTTTGTTTTGTTTCTCAATGCGAAATTGATCAAGTTCCGACCGACCTAGTACCTCCAGCTACCTAGGTGTCTAGCAAATGTTGTGCTGAACAATGGTGAAGATAGAATTCAAATTGTCTTGGTAACTTCAACATAAATATGAATAAATGAATCGATTTCGGAATACCTAGTTTGTAAATACCTAGTATAGTATTCATATTGTACACACCAACCATTATAATTTGCAAGCCGTCCTTTCTCCCAATTTTAAATGCCGTCGGGCGTGTACCCTCATCTCAACAATGGTAGGTTGATATGAAGCCATTAAATATCAATCGCAACAGGGGTGGCGTACCTAGCCTTCTACCCCACCCAATCCATCCTGGTGTCCATCAACATCTCATTTCGATTATCATATCGAAGATCGAATGAGAGTTTTCACCTCCGAACCATATCATCATATCATACAAATGTCTATGGCTTGACGTTCCACAATTCCGTCGTCCATCCTCTTTCCTTCATCTTCTTGCTATTTTTCGAGGTTGTACTTCTCTTGCTGTTGCTTGACATGATGAGAAGTTCTTTACTTGATGAGGCGAGAGCATTTACAAGTTCTGGCATTCTTCCGGTTTTCGAGAAGAGTTCCAATAGATCGGAATTCTCGGCAGCAATAATAGTAGCTAGATCCATAGAAACCATCAAGTAATCACGTGTCAACATAGGTCCAGCCATCTGTAATGTTGCGATCCAAGCCAAAATAGTCTCAGGAAGATAGGTTTCTCGTAATCTTGCGAATTCAGGTTGATCTGTGGAAATTGTTAGTTTCTTTGCCAATGGATCAAAGAGATCTGCTTACCTTGTAGACTTGTTGTCAACCACCCACTAAGCAACGGGTCTGCACAAAGTTTAGCTATTGGAAGGCTTTGGGCTAAGGCCCGCTTGAAGTCTTTGATGATTGAAATTTCGGTGGCCCTGTTGTAAGAATGTTAGCAATAGAACTGATCTCAGATACCAAGTAACTCACTCTTGCATGAGAAAGTATAGACCCCATGCGCTCTCTATGCGATCTAAAGTCAAGGCCAATGTTTCGAGTTCTCGAAAGCTCTTTGCTTGCTCAACCATATACTTTTTAAGGTATCGCTTTTTATCTGCTGAGCCATCAAGAACTTCAGTCAGATCTTCATTGTCTTCAGACTCCAAGCCTGTGAAATCGAGGCTCTCGCCCAATAATGCTCGAGTTTTACTCAATGCGATTTCAGAACTTGAAATTCTTTGGGATAAATGGAAGGCGGCGTGAAGATGCATATTTTCTAATTAATTAGCATTTTTCGAGAAACCTGAATGTGAGAACTTACTATAAAACCGTTGATATAGCATCCTGCCAACCATGAATGTCTCAGACCAAAGTCCATCCACAAGTAGATACCACTCTAAACTTCTAATGAGTAGAAGGTCAATCCTATCGAGGGTCTCGGAATCCGATCCCATAAAATCTCTCTTTATTGTCTTGCCTCCTTTGCCATCATCTTTTAATACTTGAAACTCCTTAGGTGAAGGATAATCTTTAGCTCCATCAGGATGGTCTGAGAGAAGGAATCTTGACTGGTAATTCACAAATTGTTGAACATCCAATCCAAGCTCTCTCATCAATCTGATTTGGGTGACCCGTTGTTCATGATCTGTAATATCAATCAAAGTACGACTAAGTGTGGCGTATCTTCTTGCTCCGGAGAGTTGTGAACAATATAGTGGTATGAGCTCCCCTTTATTGGCAAGACGCAAGAAGCTGATGTACGCAACGATCACGTTTTCAATGACTGACTCCTTAAGTACACCACCCAAGTCTAGCCCAAGACCTCTGAAGATGAGGATAGCATGAGTGAAAACTCGCAAACTGTCGTGATCACCCAAATTGACATAATTGGTGACGTCCTGGTCTTTAGGTTGTTCATTCGTTGGAGGTATTAAGTTTGAGGTGGTCTCGGCGTTCGCAAATTTTGATAGTGCCAGACCTTGTTGATAGATGAAGTCCGCAAATTGCTCTCCAATCAACACACCTTGAAGCAATTTCATTGGGTGTGAGCTTTCACCTGCAGTTCGAGAATCTGTCTTTAAGCTTTCTACCAGTCGTTTCCCAGCGATCGCGTTATCCCCGTGAAGTACAACAGCGTCAAGTGCTCCAAAGCCCAAAGTTCCATTCATCAAAAGCTGTGGTCCCGACTGAATGTAGTTGTCGAATTGTGTTCTCAACAAGGCATTGTAATGTGTGAAAATTAAGTCATCCCATGATTGACAAACAGGTTCGACGCTCGAGATGTCACCAGAGAGAATACCGTATACTGCTCGCTCGTACTCATCATTGCCGCCTTTTCGTGCAAGTGCAAAACACATGCGACGCCAAAGAGCACCAGATGCAATGTCCCCTTCATCATCATCTTCCAATGACTTTTCATCCGGTAGCCCAGACATGCTAACTGCTCTCCATACTTCGGTTCGATCCATACACCATTCTCTGATTTCGGCTGGGCTTCTGCCTCGACGGAGCATTTGATAACACCCCAACCAAATGGCGCGCTCGAAATATTCGTCTTGTACCTCCAGCTTTCGGCCTTGACGGGTTACGGAATCAGGATCCAGCTGGGTGACTAGAGGTTCAGTTTTGGTTGCATTCCACATCATTTTTTGGGTTTCATTAGAATTGAGGTCGACAGTTCGAGGCCAAGAGTGTTGATTTTTCTGAAGCTTGATAGCTGCCCTGGTGTGTAACCAACCATGCGCGATGATATCTCCCCTCTCCGCGTTTTGCTGTAAATCCTGAACTAAGACGTCGATTTCTTCCCCCGATTCCTCGGCCGTATCCTGAAGCCATCGAAGCACAGTTTTTCGTTCCAGCGCAAGATTATCTGTCTGTAGAAAATGATCCCAAGCTTCTCGTTCACTCGAATACTGATTTAAAGGTGTTTGTTGAGGTTCGAATTCTTTTCCGTTATCTGGTCCGGGAAATCGTAAGTGTGCCAATCTTCTCAAAAGGTCCCAAGTTTGCGCCTCCTGCTCCCATCTAATCAGATCCTTCACTGTTGTTCTGGAATTTATTATAAACTCTTCTTCCTCGTCCGAGTTTTCCATATCCACTTCATCAGTATCTTGCGTGATTTTGAAACCTCTCATCTTCTTTCTCCAACTCAAACCCTCCATTCTTCGGCGTTCGGACTCATGGCGATCTCGTAAACGGTCTAATGTATCGAGAGCAGTTCTATGATAAAGCTCAATCAAATCGAATGCCATCTCTCGTCTCTCATCCCCATCAGTCACCCTTAAAGGATCGTAACCATCAAGAAATTCCGCAAACTTCTCCACCTCATTTCCGACTCGATTCGCAGCATCTTGAAGGGGGTATAAGACAGCTTCTGTTTCTCCAGAACTTTCTACCATATCTGGTTTTTCATATTCAACTACCAATGATAGAAGTTAGTAAGTATAAGGCGCATAAACATTACTTTAAAAAAACTCATAAGAATTACTGACTTCGCTCTTGCTCTTGCTCTTCTCCATAGCGCGACATTCCATCGTAAGAAGAAGGGTCTTCAGAAAGTTCTCTTTCAAATCTTGGTTCCTGCTGCGCGGAAGGGTTAGCATTCTTGAATATTCTGAATTGCATTCCAAAGAAACTCACAGCTATCATTTGCCAACTTCCTTCACGGTGATTCTAGAAAAAGGAAACTTCAAGTCAGCTTCAATTCCCGTATAATTCAAGCCTTTAATATTTACCTGAGACCTTGGTACATCTAATCCATTTGTGTAATTGTTCATCGTAGAATTGCGCGTTGACATGGGCGCCATATTTTACAATGCGATACTTTGAAAGGGAAAGAAATCAGAAAAAGTAGTGTACAATTTGTTTAATGTTGATATTATATGGACGGACCAAATCCTCAAATCAACAAATTGAAGCTTCGGCCTTCGAACAATTTAGTCGCGTCCTGAAATGTCAGGGATTATTAATTTTTAGATGCGATCTTGACTTGTGAGTACCAGGGAAAGTTTAGCGCGATATGGCATTTGACGCTAAGGAAATCTTCTATTTAAGAGATTTCTTGCGTGCAAATTTAGACATTTTTTCTTTACAATGTTTTTACCGCCCTTCTAATTAGAGTCTCGAATCAAGCCTTCAATGTTTGGTTAGGTCCATTGGGATCTCTTTGCGCGCTCATGATCGGCCATATTAAATAATCTTCCTGTTTCCGTTACCTGACCTTTTCGGAGGTGTGAAGGATGGCAGTAAACTTGGAGAGTTACATCTTTTCGTAAGAAACTGGACTGTAATATTGATGTGATGAAAAAGTGATGTGTGATGAAGGTGTTTTATATAGTCCATGTATCAATGTCGGGCATACTATGAGAGTATACTATGAGAGTGCACATCTATCTATCATCTTCATGCCTGCCTCTCTTCTGATCTCTGCTTCATCTTCAACCGTAGCAAATTTGCCTTGGGACAGGAGACACTATTTGCATCATCACCATTCTTCTCATAGAATGCATTACAGCAATCATATAGTGCATCAATCTGTGATCTACACTTCTCTTCGTTGTAATTATTCTTTGCAAGACAATCTAAGGTGTAAATCATCAGTTGAGTTCCCAATTGGCTTGGGGAGAAAGATGCTGACCTTGGATGGCACACTTTATCCAGTTCCGTATTGTCAGCTCTTTGTAAAAGGCAGTATCAGTTGATGAGTGTAACATACAGCTTTGGAATGGCAAGGTTGTTCTGTATTTATATCATTTTTGAGTGGCTAAAAGTCCATCACATAAACATTAGTATCAATAACTTCCAAAAGAAAGAGCAATTTGACTTGATAGAAAAAATGTTGTCACCATATTCAACCTGGATTCTCAGCAAATGAACCACCAGATAGTTTCCTTTTGAATGAATGTATGTTGCTGCGACAACCTAGGTAGATACTGTATTGATCTTGTACTGATCTTTAATCCCAGATGCGAAAGGTGCAATCAATCTCTTTCAAAAATGTATTCAATGGTAGATAGAGAAGTCTGAAGTTGTTGTAAATTCTTGTTTATTCTTTGGTTCCTTGAGAATCTTTTTATATCTACATACCTAGATGAAAGACTACAACAGCCTCCAGCAAACTCCCCTGCACCAATCAGAACCCCTCCACCCACACCACTCCTCTTTCCTTTTTGTGTTACTAAAGCTTAGCGTCATCAGCCACAAGCGTGAATTTGACTTCCTCATAATTCCTTACCTACCACTCGACTTCCTCTTAACCTTCGACCTGACATAACTGATAACTTTTAAAGACACTTTAACAGTAGATCGATTTACTAAAGTCAAATCTACTCCTGTGTTGTAAGTTTATTTGTTACATAAGAATCCTCTTAATTTCATAAACTAACCAATTCACCACCATCTACAGCCTCGAATTGAGAAACACCCACCCCACGAATTTCATCTACCCATTTCCCGAACTTCAACTTCAAAATGTCCGACAATGAAGGATCCCCAGCTGGCGAGAGACCCGAAGCCCCTGTTTCCGAGCACTTGAACATCAAGGTTACCGATAACAATAATGAAGTCTTCTTCAAGATCAAGCGTTCCACTCAGTTGAAGAAGTTGATGGATGCTTTCTGCGAAAGACAAGGCAAAGCACCAAACTCCGTACGCTTCCTCTTCGATGGCAGCCGTGTTCAAGCTACAGACAGCCCAGATAAGGTGTGTATTCATTATTGTATTTTGTGGGGGATTTGATATTTGTTGTATTCATCGGGGAATATTTCTGTGCTACTGTGTCGCATCGCTTTTAACTAACGCATTTTACCTCAGTTGGATATGCAAGATGGTGACACTCTTGAAGTTCATCAAGAGCAAATTGGTGGCCAATAAATCATCCCTTGCTTTCTCATCCATTCCACTACACGACGATACGATACCATAACAATTCGACATGCGCATGATAGGGAGAGGCGAAATGGTACCAGGGCTTAGGATAACTCTGGTTGGAGATGACTGATAGCTCAGACCGAAGGAGAAGAATGTGCAATGCTGCGTTGGCAGTTAACATTTAACATCTTGCAAAGCGAAAACAATCTTCTAATCTGGGCTATTTTTTCCTTGTGTTTGGGGGATGACTCGTCAGTTTTACATCGCGGTATTGGCGTGTTTTAGGGAGGCGTCAAATAGTGTTTCTTCATACTTCAGGCCATATTTTCTGGCTGTAGCCACGAAGGACAGAATTTAGATGCTTGTTTTCCTTGGGTGGAAGAAAATGAAGATGTTCTCAAATTGTGACGGGGTCTTTCAGCATCTCGTCTGATTTACGCTTTGGTTTTGTTGTGATTCTTGTTTGATGTGTTTCTAACATAGGTTCTGCTGTTATATTGAGAGTGCATGCGCTGTGAAGTCCTTTCCACTGCCTTCATTTACTCTCTAATTATATTGTGACTTTGCGAGCAGATCATCCTGCAATCAACCCCGATTCCTTGGTATGAGCATCTAGTGTGGACTTCCATCTTTATGAAGGATATAATTCTCAGTTGCTACCGAACTGGCGGCGCTAAAATCAACGTGGCCTCGTTGCTCTGTAATGGTAACTTGTGCATCTATACACGCACACATTCGATTGGTGCTATACCTAGGCGTAGAATGAATGCGTAAGAGAGTAAAATATGTATGCATGGTCCGCCTCTTACTTCTAAGCTCTATACTTCGTGCTTATAACTCCCAGATCAGATCTCTCTTAGCCCTCAACCCTTGTTCCATCATCCTTCTCCGTACTTCTCTCCTCAATTTCACCATAGACCAAACTAATCATCCCACACCCCTTTCTTTATTTTCTCTGCCTCCTGCCTCCTCCTTTCTTCCTCCTCTCTCTCTTCCTTCCTCCTCTTCATCTCCTTTTCCTTTTGGACTCGTTCATATTCCCTCTGTTCCTCTGTTTTCTTCGGTGCGCGAACACCCAATGCACCTGCTATGAGTCGTCGAGCTACCGCATCTGTTTTTTCCTGTCTGCGTTCTGGGCCCCGCGCAGAATTGGATGAGGAGGATGAGGGGCCGGGGTAACCATAGGGATTCTCAAATTCTTGTGCAGAGGAGGAATTGATGGGTTTTTTGGAGGTGGAAGAAGCTGGAGGAGGGGGAAAGTGTTCGCTAGGTGGAGGGGGAGAGATAGGGGTAGGTGGTGGTGCGGAGGGGAATGAAGAGGAGGTGGGGGATAGTGTATTTTCTGTTGATGGGGGTTGAGTAGTGTCGGTTTCGGTTTCGGTGTCGGAACCGGAGGAGGCTTCGTCTTCCCAGGAGTCGGCGAGGGATATGGATTTTTTGGCTCTGGAGAAGGGTTTGGATTGGGTAGAGGAAGAGTTGATGCTGAGGTTGCTGAGAGTGTTGGAGAGGTCTGAGAGAGGGGTTAGCTGCGGGGTTCGTGGGGGGAAATAGGAAAGAGAAATTGATTTACCTTTTGGTTCAACTGTCATGATTGCGATTGAGTTCGAGTGATATTGGTGATTTGTTTGCTCGGTGTTCCAGACTATGTAGAGGAATAGGATTAAAATGCGTTCAATGGTCCAGAGCAGGAAGTGTAGTGTTTGTGCGGATAACAGACGATCCACTACTTCTGTATTTCTTGAAAATGCAATTTCGACTTTCAAACAGATGAGAGACTTTGTATGATTTAGTAAATGCAGATGTTCAATAAGTATCATGTGCGTAAATATAGTACGAATCAGAAGGTAATAGCTTCCTAATAGTAACTCATGCCATCCCTCTCTCATAGAGTCGCGTAGCGCATTCTCCAGCTCGGGATATCCACGGCTAACCCAAAATGATTTCTCCGCATCGTGGATTGGTGGAATCCGCTCTAGCTAGTCTTTAGCTCCCATCAATTATTGCTTGGATGGACGAACGGACGGCGCAAGACACCGAGTACATACATATTAGGTGACGGGAACGGGAAATCAGAACTTGGATTCTATCGTGTGGAACGAGTGATGCATCGTTTTACTAGTCTTTTTTGTACGAGGTGGGAAAGCGGATAAGAGTGTATGGAGGTACCGTAGAGGTCCAGAATTTAATGCAAGAGATCGTGCGTACCTACTACGTAGTTTGCTTTCCCCACACATGTGAAGACTGCAGGTGGGTTTAGGTGAAGCTCAAGCTCAAGCTCGTCGGCGTTTATTCCCGATGCGTAATCCCGAGGTTCGAGGTTTGTAGCTTGAGGTAAATCTTTTGATTGCTTTATGAACAATCTATATTGCTTATTACGACGACGAGAGTATTTTATGATTTGTTTATACGTAGCCTGTCCGTTTTATGTTGTACATACTTGGTGTTTGTATTTCCTTCTCAACTACGGACACATAACTGGAAATATAACACAACATGATACGCTCAAAAGCTCTCACGCGGGGTAGATTTGGGTACTCCAGCACAAGAACGTTGAAGCATTTTGTAAGTAGGGAAGATGGTAAACATACACATGAGGATAGATATGGAGAAACAATCAAGAATTTGAAGATTGGAAGCCATACTAGAGTTATATTCCAGGGTTTCACAGGTATGATGATGTGCAATTGACTGTTCTGTTTTACAAATGTGTCATGGCTGATTTGATACAGGTAGACAGGTGACATCCCATAATTAAGAATCACCAATGATTTCTATACTGATCTCAATACCCCATAAAGGCCACAGCAAATGCAAAAGAATCAATAGAATGGGGAACTAACATAGTTGGTGGTGTGACACCTGGAAAGAGCGGGGAGCATTTGGGATTACCAGTTTTACCTACTGTAAAGGAGGTCAGTATATCACGATTATGGATGTTAATTCTACTAACAACCCGAAATAGGCAATGGAGCAACTTAAACCAGATGCAACTGGAATATACGTAGCAGCTCATCAAGCACCAAGCGCAATTGAAGAAGCTATTGAAGCAGAAGTTCCTCTTATTGTTGCTGTCGCTGAACACATCCCTATTCATGATATGTTAAGGGTATGAATTCATGATTTTAAAATAATACGGAGCTGATATTTTTTAGATACATAATATCCTGGACACTCAATCAAAAAGTCGATTAGTTGGTGCCAATGCTCCAGGAATCATTTCAGCAATTGGAAAATGTCGGATTGGTTTCCAACCCCTTTCTTGCTTCACACCAGGTCGTATAGGTATTGTCGCTAAATCGGGAACTTTAAGTTATGAAGGTAAGATACTAAGCAGATGGTCTTGATCAATACTGATATTAATAGCCGTCGCATCAACGACCAGGGCTGGACTTGGTCAAAGTCTTTGTATTGGAATGGGTGGTGATGTATTGGCTGGCACTAATTTTGTGGATGCTTTAAAGATTTTCGAATATGATGATGATACTGAAGGAATCGTTATCATTGGTGAAATTGGTGGTGAAGCAGAACTTGAAGCTGCTGCCTGGATTAAGGAATGTAAAAAACGTTCCCCAAATCCCAAGTAAGTTTCCTAAAGACAGTTTGAGTTATACTAACCTTTCATAGACCTATTACTGCACTGGTAGCTGGTGTTCATGCGGCTCCTGGTAGAGTCATGGGTCATGCTGGAGCTTTTACTTTGCCAGGAGAACCTGATGCGTTGACAAAAATCAAGGCTTTCGAAGATGTAGGAGTTACTATGGTCAATCATCCAGCCAAATTTGGAAATGCTATGAAGACTTTACTAGAGAGCTCCGGAAGATCAAGTAATAGCATTTCTACAGGTAACTATTCTCAAAAGCGAGGTATGCACACAATGAGGGTACGCCCAACACCAAGGATTTCACAAATGAACATGACACAAAGAAGAACCATATATCTCAAAGAGGTAGATGCGTTTAAATTGCTCGACGGAAAGAAAGTCATTGGAAGATGGCAAACATACCACATCGCTATTGGCATCGATCGAAGTAACCGATGTCCATTTTTAATACTACAGAGGCCGGGTGAACAGAATGAGTCCTCTACAAAATCGATAAAGCTTCCATTTTCATACGATACTGCCAGAATGTCTGATGTACTCGATAAGCGCAGCTCTCATTTGGGGTTGAGACCTCTTCAAAGCAGGTTGTTGAAATCACTCATTTTCGACTTGTATGAACTTTTCAAAGAAAAAGAAGCCTTCCTCCTCGAATGCGTCGTACAAAATCAAAGAGCAACGGAATTAAAAGGTCAACAGAGAATGGTAGTTGTGAATTCACTTTTCGGTTTCGATGACGCCGCCTTTAAAAGTTCGAATCGGCAATCAGAAATTCACTCTCTTCCCCGCGCAGATATTCAAGATCCTGCCGAAACAGCTGCTGAAAAAGACGGTATAATATACATCAAACTTGCCGGTGATGGTAATATTGGAACATTGGTGAATGGTGCAGGGCTGGCTATGAATACTGTAGATGCGTTGGCGGATGTGGGAGGGAAAGCTGCAAATTTCTTGGATACTGGAGGGAAAGCGACGGCGGAAACGGTGAAGAAAAGTTTCGAGGTGATCTTGAGAGATGAGAGGGTGAAGGTGGTTTTTGTCAATATTTTTGGGGGTTTGACTTTAGGAGATATGATTGCTGAGGGGATACTCTTGGCTTTTAAGGAGTTGGGAGTTAAGGTGCCGGTGGTTGTTAGAATTAGAGGGACGAATGAGAAGGAGGGGCAGAGGATTGTAAGTTTTCTTTTTCTTTTGGTTGTGGTCTATTTATTGGCCTGAATTATTGTGAGAAGGATAAGTGTTTACTGACTTTCTCTTAAATCTATAGATTGCTGAAAGTGGATTGCCACTATATGCATATGATGACTTCGATGAAGCGGCGGCTAAGGTGATAGAATTGGCAAACTCCAGTGGAGCTTGAGACTACTTTTAGATTTAAGTGGTATAAATATATCAAGATATTTTCGACACTTTAGTGTCTCATCCGCAGAGATAGATATCCTACCGGAGATATACCAAGGCGACGCGATCTCCCAAGAGTTTAAGATTTGAGGAACATTTGCATGAAGGGTAGCTCCGCATGTTAGACAAGTACAAATCTTTCCGGAATTCGCATTCAAATTCCATCTCAAGAATACAAATTTTACTATTGCCAGTCCACTATCATCACCGTCTTCAACCTGCTATTCTCACCGCTCAACTAGCAGTCGTGGTGCTTTAAATGCTCAAAACTAAAACCCATCTCAAACCCGTCGCAAACCCTGAAAGCAATTCCGCTCTCCAAACAAACTGTCTCTCATCTATCTTATGCCAGGTTGCATTATCGTGTAGAAGCATATACTCGTCTGAGATATTGAATTCCTTCTTTGTGTCGTCTGGATTTCTGCTATCTCATCGTGTGAATTGGCAGCGAAGTTCGTTTATCGCTGAATTGTGAATATATCACGCTAGATATCTGATCTAAGTTTTTCGTCTAATATTTTGTGTCGTGGTGTTGTCATTTGATTACACTCCGATTTTGGGATTTAGTATCGTTAGCCAAATTTTATCGTCCGAATTTATGAAGAAGTTGTTGTCTATACCTAGGTACTTGAAGTTTCTACGGATAGCTATAGTGAAATATAGGGTTCTTGGATTCCTATTGGATGGAATGTACTAAGGTGTATCTGATTTGTCAATTCTTGAGCACAGTTAATTCCAGGATTACCATATGAGCTGCGTTTGTACCATATAGTTCCAAGTTGGTGATGAAGAGGTAAGGGCAGTAGAGGAAACTTATATGTAAAGATCGGCATGTTTGTAGAAGCTCGCTAGAAGGTCGATGGGTGTGGAACAAGAATGGAACTTGAGATCGGGTGAGGGATGGGGATCGCGTTGGGAGGTTGGGAGTCGTAATTGTAGAGTTGTATTTTGGGATTCACATGAATTGTATTATTTCTCCCTGTTTTGAAACGCTTCTACTAGCCGGAGAGTCTAACTACCGATATTCACTCCGTCTACGAGCTATTTGTGATTCATACTCTGTTATGTTGAGTAGTTGTTTATTTGAATGCGACTCGCTCTGCACTCATCTTTTTATATTAAGTTAGGCACCTGGACGCGTCAATTAAAAGGGCATGGGGAGAGTAGGAATTTGTTGGCCTAATAGGAACTTCTTTGATATGGTTGAGGAAGGGAGGATCAAATTGGAAGATGGGAATAGATTTATTTTCATTTCAGTGAGCTTGTGTCTTTTTGGGGTGAGGGGGGGTTTTAGTTGTTGATTGTTCTGGATGTTTGGAAAGTTTGTTCGGATAGATGGATTTTATTATTTGCCATATCTTCGTCCCTATTTTTGGTGGTCGAGAGAACCGGAGTATATATCAGATGACATACATTGGAGAATAAGCAGCACAGTCTTTCTAAACGAGGCTCGAGGAAGTAGAGTTGATGTGAAGATTCTCTAGAGGTAGATAAATGTATTACTACGAGCACATCTATGAGCTCCGATCCAGCAAAAACCATATCGCACTGGCGTATATTGGTTTTCGGCAATATTGGGCTCTGTGACTCTGAGAGTTGGGTTTCTATAAAAGTGCTGGATTGGACGTTTGAGGGTAGATGGTGAATTGGAGAAAGAGATAGGAAGTACCTTTATGGCTATTCTAGTTCGTCATTCGGACCCCGGGGACTCTAACTTGAAGATCATGTGCTTGGGGTGAAATATGAAGGTTTGAGTCGCTATATTCACCTCTTAACTTCATCTTACTCCCTTATCGCCAAACCTTGTAACAAGGAGGCTACAGCATCGTTCCTATCCTAGCTAAGTTGAAGAATTCAGAGTACTGTAAGTTTTCCGGAATCTTCAACCAGGATTTATTACGATTAGGCTTTTGAAAGGATGAAAGTAATCAAGCTTTGTTACTATTGTTGATTGGCGTTATTTCCATTTTGCAGGCAGATGCAAGAATAATCTGATTATTTTTAATGAATTTGAGAGCGGGTTTTCTGTGTATATAATTCTCGTGGATCTTACTTCTGGCTTTAAACTCTGACTAAGACTTCGAACTTCTCGTGCTAAGTGGACTCCTTTAGTACATGGAAATGTGGTAGTAAAAAGAGTTACTACGGATGGTATCTGTCTTTGAGCTGCAGTATTTATGCTCTGTTTGCAAGTCTTTGTTGGAGATTAGGAGATATGTGAGGGGAAGGTGTTGAGAGAAGAGAGTGGGAATCAGAGAGGTGATGGTGCGTACCTTGATAGTTCAAAATGTTGAATTCCCTACATGTTCGCACGGTTGTGCAAATGGAGTAGGAAGTGGTGTAGTATCTAGTCTCTCATTATATGGTAACGTATGCCTTGGCCATGTCCATCAACCAAGCCATTCGAAAGCACGAGAAGAAAATGATCAATAGAGAGGCCACTGCTCAATATGACTGTGTAGCGAGTAGCGAGTACTGGAACTGCATACTTGACTACTTTGTGATATCGGTTGGCGTACGTCATGCGGCTACTTTCCATATACTGCTGAATATGATCGTTTGATAGTGTTATAGTCGGCTCTCTAGGCGGCCGACTATTTTTTTGTATTCAAATTGAAATGAATCGGTGTCCTTGAAACTCTGTTCGTGTTCATGATTCCTTTTGATGTTGAAGTCAATATCGACAGCGATGCACGTAGGTAGTGACTTATTAGGGTAGAAGAGTTGAAAAATATGGATAGTGATAAGATATATTCAAAGGGGACAAAAGCTCAAATCGTATGGAAAAGAGTCTAGAGTATCAAAATATAGAACGAGCCTAGTCTAATTAAGCTGACTTGAAAAGAAGTAGACCACTCGGTAATATGAATCAATTCAAGTATACAGACGAATATAATTGCACCTGAGTATGGTCTATGGTTTTAAGGGTGCGTTCGGGTCGTTCTTTTTACACGACTTAATATTGCGTTTACAGAGCGCAACTTTAACAAGACTGAGCGCGACGAGGTCTATAAGGTCTATATGCACGTAATACGCATCGGGGCATATCACGTGCACAATTATCTATATTACAATAAATACCCTTGCGAGATCATCTTTTCGTCGTACACGGGATATCCCACCACAAGGCTCCGGATACCTGCAATAGTCTTTATACTAGCCCAGGTTATCTACTACTTCTACTGACCATTCCTCGTCAATCTGACACCCCCTTTCGGGTAAGCAAAAATGCGGTTGCTCGACACGAAAGACACGGAGAATCTTCGAGTGCAGGAATTTTCCCAACGGGAAATCCCCTCGTACGCCATTCTTTCTCATAGGTGGGAGGAAGATGAGATCACCTTTGAAGATATCAAGAATGGCAACTTCAATCAGAAGAAGGGTTTTGCGAAGCTAGAAGGCTGCGCAAAAAGGCCAGGGAAGATAAACACTATTGGGTCTGGGTTGACACTTGTTGCATTGACAAATCAAGCTCCGCGGAACTTAGTGAGGCCATCAACTCAATGTATCGTTGGTATCAAGAATCTGCAGTTTGTTACGCATATTTGTCCGATGCAAAGGATATTTGGTCTTTGATTCAAAGCAAATGGTTCTCTCGTGGATGGACATTGCAGGAACTCATAGCACCACGTCATCTCCTACTATTTGATATGCACTGGCGTCTACTGGGAACTAAGGGCGGGCATGCAACCCTGATCGAATACATTACTCGTATTGATAGAGATGTCATACTCGGACGTCTTTACCCAGGATCATGCAACGTTGCCCAGAGAATGTCATGGGCTTCAGAACGAGAAACTAGCCGAGAAGAAGACTTAGCTTACTGCTTGATGGGACTGTTCGATATTCATATGCTACCAATGTATGGGGAGGGCTCCCAAAATGCATATCTTCGACTACAGCAAGAGATTCTTAAGCGAACTTCAGACCAAACTTTATTTTTATGGACTGCTGCTCATGAGCCCTACAATCAAGGTCTACTACCAACTTCTCCAAGTTCTTTTTGCACTCATCATGGCTGCTTAGATTGGCTGCCCCTCAATTCGAGGACGATCGGAGATTCGATGAACGCTTATACTTCACTTATTCCATCAATTCGTACACCTCGCGGTTTCAAGTACAACAAGCAAATTGGGGTATACATTGATGCTCCTCCAGTCGATACACACTCTGCTTTTGGATCCAATGGCCTGCAGTTATCTCTTCTTTCCTATGACAGCAGCCAAGACTCATTCAAGCGTCAACAGCCCTACCTGCACACACTTACAAAATAGTATGCCTCGACGTTTTGAGCTGGAATAATAGTAGAATCTTTCTAACCTTGATACCCGAACACCCTCCGAGCCCCCATACTTCTAGAATGAGCATCGATCGAATGGGAGCTTTTCGACGTCCAGCTTCCACAACTCTAGAATCCAGACCTCGAATCAATATGCCTTTATCCATGGAGCGGCAAACAATTGCCGTTTTTCAAGTCGATACATCAACATCCGGTAGTCCCGTGCAGTTTAGGTTTTCCCCCGTGCTAGAATCCGGAGTAAAATTCACCAAAGCTTTCATTTTTCAACCTGATGGCTCGAACAGTCATTTGAGTTCTTTTTCTGAACCATTTGAGTGTGTTGGGGGTGTTGTTTTATTTGATATACCGTCACAACACTGTAACCATAGACAACTGATGCTGGCATTTGGAACTCGGCAACGACTTTCGCCCTCCTGGTGCACTTTAGTTGAAAGTTGCCGAAACCTTTCGGGTCCGGGTGTCGAGCATCTATATTCCGAGTATAATGCTCTCAACTCTCGTTTGAATTCTCGTTCACACCTTTCTCTAGACAGTTGCGTACATTATGCATGTATCAATGTTTTACACAATGTACATAACATAGAATTTAATTAATACATCACTCAATCTCAAATCATCACTAAAATTAATAACTGGATCTTCTCTTGGCTTAGTGAATAATTCGGATTGAGGTGTGACCATTTCGGTTAGGTTGAGGCTTATCCCCCCTTCATTCAACTTCATTTAAATTTGGTAGCATTCCACCGAAGTCACTGGATGAATCAACTGTACTTGCTATGATCTTGCTGCTATATATTGCCAGAACGATTGTTGTTAGTATCTATATTTTTGGAGCTATTCGACTGACGATGCAACAATGGGGCAGATATGTTGAGGCCATGATTTCAGACTACATAAGAAAGCGATCAATGAAAATCATGACGAATTCATGGATTTGACCTGTATTCCCTCACTATACCTAGGTTTTTAAATACAGTTCCTAGATAAACGGCCTCAAAATGGCTTATCCTATCTCAAAGGTCGCTGTTGCAATAGCCGCAAAGCCCTCAGAAGTGATAACGATGAGAAGCCACTACCTCATAGCTGCTGTACCATCACACGCACCAACTTATCGCCCTTTACATAGAGTCCTTGCATGCCACAAGATAAAAATTCCTATCGCAAGTCAAGTATTAGATTTCGAAACTTACAAATCTTCATTCAAAGACATTCTCCCCCAATAAACCATTTCTGGTCATGGAAATGCGCAGAGACGTACACCATGATTAGACTATACCAACAACTAAATCTTCTCCAGGCTCGAAATCATACTTCTGCACAATTAGCGAGTCACCATATTCTGAAAGTCAACGACAGGTTCATCTTAATCATATCATCTAGTCTATTCTAATCGTCGATTGCGCAAGTATATCATGAGCTGTGAAATCATCATCAATTACCGTCATCATCTGATGTTTCATTCAGATAGAAAGTTCTTCTGCTGGTTGTCAAACTCCTGAGATCTAAAGTTTTATATTTATCCATTTGAGCTCTGCCTCAGCGCCTAGTCTGTGTAAGAACAACGGGAGACCGACTCGAACTTCAATAGATTTCACTCATCTGAAGCTCGCACAGTAAATATCTCTGTTAGAAGTATTTCTTCCTTTCTGGTTCTGCGCGGAGTATTTGTATGCACAATAGGAAAGACGAAGAAGACAAATTCGGAAAGAGTTAGGAAAGAAAAGTGGATACTAGCACGCCATTCTTTCCAACCCATGTGAGTGAATCTATATTATTATTCCAAGTGTCACCTCATGCGGGGCTCTTGATCTTGAATTGAAGATCCTTTACTTAGATTGAAGTCTTTACAATAGAGCTGAGCTTCAGCATTTGGGAGAAGCGAAGAAGTTGCGAAATCTAGGTCATCACCGAATCACAATATGTCCCGGATGGTATCTTAGACCAATGGCTTTGTATATAGGACTAGCAATGCGACTCATCCAGTATATAATTTCTACTTGGGAACAGCTAGTGTATTTCTTGTCCATCAATGATTTGTTAATCCTCCAAAGTCCAAGTGCTATCGCTAGACCAGACATACCAATGAATGAAGCATTAACATCAAAGCAATCCTCCCACCTACAGAGCTCTGAACTGCAAACTTAACAGTTGCATTGATTTCAGTAGGTTCAGCACAAAACGATAAGTTTCTCGAAACCATTTATCATCAAGGGTACGCGAGAAATACGTCGCAATTAACAAGTCTCACGGCCTATCTGTTATTCGTGACAGTATTTTGAATGCAATATTCCAAGCGAGTGGGATTTTTGCGCGCAATTGCACTGGATAGAGAGATTTAATTGGTAAATGGACCAAATAGTACCCTCAATATTTGACTCCTTTATTAGTAAAAGAATGAAATCTCCTATCGTTACATCACGGAGTAGAGCAACAGATGCGAATGAGAGCATTTCAGGATCGTCCGATTGCTGTAAGATTACACTGGCTTTGGGTAGGGTAAGATCCATAGTTTCTTATTCAAGCAAAAATATTGGGACAATTGCTTCTTGTCCCAGAATGTTGTTAGAGAGCCCTGAAGGTTTGTGACAACCGAAACAGGAAACGGTAAGTCAAATTCCGAGATGACATTAATAGCTTTTGGATGATAATAGTCGTATATTAACATTCTTCTTGAAAAACTTTCTCCTCATGTTGTTACTTCAAACCCTGGAAATGTTCAAATCCGATCAGAGGTTAGAGAAGAGTCAAGACACCATAATATCATCAAATCAAAACATAATAGAGTCCTCATTTCAACAACAACATATGGAATTTCTGACTGAAAACTTATGAAAGACTTCCTCTCTGAAATTACATTTCCCCACGTATTTTGAAACGATCCAGAATTTATGAAAGGAAATTTACCACAAAGGTCTTCCTCTTCCTGTACGGAGCAATGGTATTTGTCAATACTTTCGAGGCTGATTCAATCCATGAACAGCTGTGTAATTTACACCCACCTCCTGAAGTCGACCCTCAATCCTACCTACGTAGATTTATACAAAACGGTGAATTGATTTATGTGGTGGCGAAGCATAGATAAGAAGTGTATGCTGCTTTTGTTCCCAATGCTGTATCAAGTCTTCATCTCCTGTTCTCTACACAATAGACCCGAACCTCTCGTCTATTATTGAGAAGCTACATTGTCAGTGTTGTATATCTGTTAGCAAAATGATTTGCAAGTAGAGATGAAGGCCAACAAATCCTTCTGATAATTCACTTTCGATTCACTGCCACCCTTATACTGTTTAATCAAACGCCGATCAAGTTCGCCTTTTATAATATTTGCCCACCACTCTTCCATACCTAGGTAGAATGCATTGATTTTACCCCACCAAAAAAAACGCAAGAAAAGTTAAATAAAATGCAAAAATAATATTCCTGTTCGGGAGAGCGCCGCAGAGTTTAATTAAAACCAGGCGAACTGATTTTTCCAACAAACAAATTCTTCGGCTGTGAAGCAGTGATCCTGTTTGAGAGGATGTGAAAACCAAGTGCGCCACCACTAAGCCAACTGGATTTTGTTTGTTGTGAAATGAGAGATGTTGTTTTTTGGATTTAACGAGCGCTGAAAAGGTACCGATTTTGCTGTTGATTGGAACTCGAACTTCTCGTAACGTCGGTGATAATGTTACGATTCTCTGAATTGTGCTAGACCTGTAGCCGTCGAGTTGTTCTGCGTTACGTTCCTTTGACATGACAATTTTGAGTTTGGTTGAAAGTTCAAACCATCTCGTAAACTTGCATAATTCAGTTGAATTTCAGGAACTACACTGAGTACTGGATTTATCCATCGCAATCTTCAAATATCAACGCCTGCTATCGATTTGGATAATTGCGAACCCATTTCCCTTGTAATGGTATCCTATCCAACAGACTTTGAAATTTAGATACTGGCTCAACTTTGAGAGGAATTCATGTCGTTCTGCTCGCAAAATGCAAGTCTCTCGGAGAAACAAAATGTATGGCCAAGCGTGTCCCATCTAAGCAATTATAAGCGTCCCGTCCCAAGGCTTTTCGTATAGACACCATGTATGATCTAGAGAACTTCAGATTCATCCAAGCAAAGACCATGCGTCATGCGTAAATGTGCAAAGAGGCGGCCAAGCCGCCAGTGACGTTGACCCTTTCCAGATCTTCAGCTCTCGGATATCTGAGATTTGAAGCCCCTCATCTTAAAGAGCCTCAAACTTTCATCATTAACAGCAAGAAAAAGACAATACATCGTGTACCTACTGATCTCCAACTGAAGTCTGCATTCCGTAGGAATTCCTTGAGCAGTGAACAAAGGGCGTTCCAAAAGCTCCTGCACGTAGTGGATCTATGTCTTTGAAATCTCCGTTCAACTCTACCGAATGATGAATATTCTATATCACGACTCAAGACTCACGATTCACATTCGTAAGCCCTCACAAACAACCCCATGGAGTTAATATCCAAAGTTTCAAAAGGAAGAAAAGAGCCTTGCTATTTTCATACCCCATACGAATGATGTATGGTTATCATGTCATGTCAGTCAAATAGTGGATCACATCATGACAATCAAACATGTCATCCATGATAGTAAAATGAGTCCTTCCCGATGATCTGCCACGAAACAAACGGTGAAGGATCACTAGTAGTGTAAGTGCGGAAAGATGTATTACTTGAATAGAAAGATCTCCATAGCATCTCGGTAATGGCATCATTCTCGGTAATATGCCCGATTTGACTCCGTTTGGGATATGGATATTGTATCGGAATATTTTTGTTCCCATGACTATGGATTGATTCATGGTGGAGTCGGGAGGGGGTGGAATTTTCGTTCGTGAATTGGGGGAACTTGGCATGCTTGGGTTGAGGAAAGTGCTAATCTGCATGCAGGGTGATGGAGATTTGAGAAGCAGTAGGGTGTTTGACGTGGATCAGAAGGAGGAATATCATAATATAAGACTC